TCGCTTCCAGAGCGTCACAATCAGCGAGTCGAAAAATCGCTGATTGTGACGCACTGAAAGCAATATTGTGTCATGTGTATATTTATGTGTCAAACATATACTGTATGACCTTTTCTTGTAACTTACAAGTACTAATTCATTATACTATTTAATGATTTCTTAATTCCGAAAAACTTTTTTTTATAGCAAGTGAGTGGAAGTAACCCTGGTTGCAAATACTCATTTCAGCTAAAATAATGTTTTACGGAATAATAAAACCAAAAGATGGTATGATGACATGTTTTACTTGTAACTAACAAGAAGAGGTTACACAGTATGCGTTGCTTTCTATGAGTCACAATTAGGGATTTGCTGATCGCTGATTGAGTGAGTGAGTGAGTGAGTTAGTGTGTGAAAAATCGCTGATTGTGACTTTCATGAAGTGAAATAAACAGGTTTAATATGTACAACACATTCTTTGCAACCTCTTCTTGTAGCTTACCTCTTCAAAATATGATCATAGCATCTAATTATTTCATAATTTAAAAAAAAATACATTGTTTTAGCTGAAATAAGTACTTGCAACCTTGTTAAGTCAGGCCGGACTAAGTGGCTTTTTTATTTCGAGAAAAACGAATTTAATGTTTGGTTAGAAACATTGTTTCTAATACTAACGGGACAACCCGTTTTTCTGTTATCCCTTGCAGTTTGTAACATTTACCAAATCTGACAAAAGTGAAATGTAGCTGAGAAAATACTTGATGCAATGCTATCCAAGGTTGGCATGCTCATTTTTTATAACTTACACCAATTTGTTTATAACTTTTCACTCAATTTATGAAACTAGGTTTTACTTTAAGCAGTTGATACACTCTATCATAGTTCATTGTAGACACTCAAAAATAGATGAATCACAACATTTGGAAATGACAACAACTTGAGCATTTTTTGCGAAAAATTATGGCCATCATTATTTCACTTTTTTCTGCTTAGTCCCCTTTGATCCAACGCAGATCATTTGAAATATTTAGTCCGACTGCATAAGGAAAAATCTAGTTAAAAAAAAACAAACATTTGCAGGTTTTAAATAAAATCCAGATCCAAGTTTATGTTCGAAATGGGGTTGATCATTTAAAAAATAAATATGAATAAATGTTTGGAAATGCACGCAGAACCTCACCCGAGCAGGAGAAAATAACTTAAGATCATCTAATTCTGTTCCTGATACCATAATTTTGTGTTGAGCAGACTGACATAAGAGGTAAAAACCAAAGAATAATATCAAAAAATTGCATGCAAAATACCTTGTAAATAACAAAAATTGATATTTCGATACCAAAAGATTACCTCCCAAGTAACAATTTCGGTTTTATAAGGGTTCTGTAGATCATGAATTAGACTTGTAGCATGCTTTAAAACCTCCATAAAACTTGCAATTTTACTTGGGCTGTGTGGTATTTTTTTGGTATTGCATGTTGGAAAATATTTTTTTAGGATTTTACCTCTTAATCCATACCAATTTAAGGTATGGAGATATTCGTTCCTGCTCGTTCCTCTCAGGTATTATTGCTATATTCGGCAATTTTTTACCAAAATCAAAAAAATCTCGGTAAAACTTAGGTTAAATAACCATAGATTTTTTTATTTCCACAATAGAATCTATTGTAAATGGGGAAATCTACAATAGAACAAGAGGGTTGTTATGCATCTCAACCATACGATAAATCACTTTTACCCGAACAAACTTGAGCCATTTACCGTTAATTGTAATGTTATTTTATTGTTGAAAATCCTTACAATATGGAACGTATTGTACATCTATTGTAATAACAATATGTTAAAATTTCTTGTACAATATACGTAAAATAAGATAGATTGTCGACAATAGATTTCGTTGTAACTGTATTTTATTTTAAGGCAATTGTATGGTTATTTTTTTCCAGGGAATTAATTGACAATTCAACATCATTTGTTTGTAAACATACGTGCACCAGATATTTATAAGCTGAATGTAAATTTGTTTATTATTCTCCTCTGACTAAACTAAAAGTATATTATATGTATATGTATATATGTATATATATGTATTTTCCTCGTATTTTCACAAACACGCCCTAATAAAATAGTGTATGGTTATTTTGCTTAACGATGTGTCTAGGGTATCATCCACACCATTTGTAGAATAGTTCTTTATTTTTTGTTATTGTTCAGGTATGATATTTTTTTATTAGGGGCGCTCTCACTCACGCATCAATAGAACCGGACGTGAAAATCTCTATACGGCGCACAGTGGCGGGCCTCCATACTAAAGTCAGACAAAACCTAAAATATTTCAGAATCTGATCACATAAATCACAAATTTAGTAAATTTTGGGTTGCTGATTCCATTTTTGACGACGAAAGTCATAAAAAATATGAACGAATCCCCCTAAAGTACGATCTTTTCTTTATGATTCCCATAAACCCATGGATTGGTTATTTGTAAGCTATATCTATTCATTATATTCTGTTTATTTAGGGTGCTAAATTAGTCAATCACTAGATCAGAACGCGTTGAACAATATGCATTTGAAAAATAATCGGTTTAGTGTACGCAGCAATAAGCCCGAGTCATTCATAGCTCATCATCATTTGTTTGTAACAAAGGTGCAAGCGATAGCTACAACCTGATTTTTTCGGTGTATGGTGGTGTAACACCGGTATAGCTGCACCGCAAAAGCGAAATCGACATAAAATCACACAAGATAAACTGCAGCAAAAACAATAAACGTCAGCTTTTCAGTGCAGCCTACTTAAATATTTCTAGTATTTTTATTGTTGGTAGAGTTATCACCCTGAAACTAATATAGGTTAGGAAGGGTCTAGTATAAGAGAGGAACGGATTATAAACTGCCTTGGCAACCTATGCTAGCTGGTTTCTAGCAACAATGCAATCAAGATTGAATGGTTCTGGCTTTGACAGCTCGTTTGTTTCAAAACCAACCAGTCCGCACCTCTCTTATACTAGACCCTCTCTAGTACAGGTCGGACTCGATTATCGATAGACTGGGTTATACAGAATACAGAATTAAAATATTTTTATTCGAATAACCGATGAAAACACGTATAATAGCAGCAAGAAAACGAAGCAAAAATTTGATTAGATTATCGAGAATGAAAAATTAATTTGACTGGCCGATAACCAAGTCCACACTGTATTGTAGTATTTGAGCAAAAGTCTAGATAGAGCTGGAATTAGGGTGTACCAGTCTTTGTGAACAATGACTTCTCTCGTTGATTTCTAGGAATTAAAGGCACGCCTACACAAACCAATATATCCATCGGGTAGGGGAAGTCTTCCTCTACTTGATGGTAATGTCGATTTGCCAGGGAGGGCAATGACTTTCGAGAAATCATCGAGAGAAGCCATTGTTTAAAAAAGCTGTTACGCCCTAATTCCAGCTTTCTCTAGAAGTATCGGATATTGATTGGTTATCATCGGGATATTTTATGGTATTTTTAGTTACAAATATAGAATGTAAATTAGTGCAGATATACCCTGTATCGAATTTATTGTTGGAAAAATTTGAAGATTTTTAAGTAAAAAAAGATCAACTCAAAAAAAACCACCTTCCTTTAAATACCAAATTTACTATATTAATCTTTTAATTTTGACGAACATCTGAACAGCTTTTTGAGTGGGTTGAGTTATTTTCTTTTTATTCCGTTCTGTGGTGCCTAAGTATTTGGCACCGAGAAGTGGACAAGTAGTGGACGAAATACGCGTTTCTGACGAAAGATAAGCAATTATAACGGAATTAAAAGGAAATAACTCAACCCACCCAAAAAGGTCTTCAAATTTAAATATTTCAACGTAAAACGTTTGTTTGTTTTCCCTTGTAGCATATTTTTCTACATTACTGGTCACACTAAAATACTACACCTTTAAAGAAATGTTATATATTATCAATTGAGCATCAAAAACATTAAAGTCACATTCAAAATATGTCCTAAATATAAATTTCAAACTAAATATTCTGGTAGGGCAAGACTAAAATGGATAAAAGTTGAAAATTGAATTTTTCCAAAACCAAAATAAATTCTTCTAAGCACCTAGAAACAATAAAGTGATGTGCAAGTTGTGATTTACATGATGACACCTGATTTGATATTTGCAAGTTTGATTAACAAATTTATTAACTAATGTATTTATATGTGTAAAGGACATCATTCACCACTTGACCTCCCTGTACCGCTAACATAATTTCTGCAAATTAGTGCAACAAAAATCAATTTTATTAAACATCATATTGATTTGAATTGTATTGCAATAATTTGCGTGTTATTAATATATTAAAATAATGAAAATAAATGAACAGTGAGCAGTGAAAAGAGGTCAACCGGTGAAAGGCGACCTTAATTAATTCACCATTAATTTTCTCCTTCATGGTTCTGATTCTAAAATTAGTATGTTACACGAAATGAACTACCGTAGACATTGAAAATATTACCCAGTCACTTTAGTGATGTCAGGACAAATAAGTAGAATTCAAAGAGTATTAGTGATAGTTTTGAATCAGCATTATCATCTTCAGTATATTCGTGATGCATTAATAGAAATTCCACCATGAACAAAATACAAATCTGCTTATAAATCCGTGTTAAACGTAAATCTCCAACCTACATAATAATTCCTGACAAACATTAAATGATTCTTCTCGAAAAATCCTCACATAATTCGGCATCCGTCTATGCACAACAAAAGCCACATGGTTTTCACAGTACTCAATCTTCTAAACCGTGGCGACTCACAAACACACTTGTGCTAGAGATACCGCTTAACGCTTCCCGCTTCTGCAATAGTTCATGCTTATTATATATTGATAGACTGTAGCCGTAGATTTGCATTGTAGATTACGCTTAATGCTTCCACAGTAATTAGCTTAACTAAATTAAAGATGATGTAGGTATACTGAGATTCTCGAGAGTCTCATAGTAACTTCCCTTCCACTAACATTCTACATTTTGTGTTTTCTTCCCAGGAAAATTCCGATGACAATAGAGACCTGTCCACCACTTCACTGTACCAGCACATGACGGACAAACCGTTCGACCTAACCGATTCAAGTAAATTTTCGTGAGTATGTTAGTGGTAAAGTTGACCCTTCCAGGAAACGACATTTTGAGACGGACAAACCACTCAAAATCGAGACAAAATTACCTTCTTCTGGAAGTGGTCGAATTTGTTGCTTTTTGTGTAGTTGTGCTTCAATCAAAGTTATTTGATGTTATATCAATATGCTTTCTTCTTGCAGATTCACTAGATCCGAATTTGATGACACAGATTCTAGATTTAGTTTTAGCAATTCAAGTTCGTCACCAGTTCAAGTAAGCGTTGCTTATTGCGTTCGTCAGTCAATCGACTAATGGATTGAATTTTTCAGGCTGGAAACGGAATCGACCGGGATTTGAATGATCACGAGTTTCCTGACAACCTGCGTCATACGGGCAGATCACTGTTGCAACACGACAGCTCACTCGGAGTACAGGTTATATCGTCATCCGGTGGGCACATCATCGCTGTGGCCAATCCTGCACTGGCACTCAGTCCAGCACTGAGCGAAGCCATCACCATCAAACGTGAGGCGATGTCACCGGATTTATAACGACGGCATGGGGCCACACAAAGGATCCTGCTACGATCAACAGGCACGATTGGTGTTTCTTCGGGACATTACTAGGGTTTTTTCTTTGGCTTAAACATTTGGTGAAGGATTGGGAACTAGTCTAGAAACTTTCTAAAAGTTCAAAATACATTACGTACTAAACATTTCTGGCAAAATTTTGTAAAATAATTATACATTTCGGCAATTGTGAATAATCACGCTAAAGTTTATCAACGCAGAGACTGTTTCTTTTTGATTTATTTTAATTTTTAGGTTCAATTTTTTTCAGTTTTGTTTTCGAAATATAGTGCAAAAACACTTTGAAACAGCCAATCGCTTATTTGAAGACTGTCTTATTTTTTTAGATCGTTGTTGTTTCGCCTTATTTCCTCATTCTCAATTGTATATATATAATGCACGAATTAACCATCGATACATGCATAACTGTGTATAATTTGTAGTTGTAATACAGTTAAATTAATTCGATACTTTAATGCAAAAATGCAATGTCATTCGTTCATACAATCTTCGTATAGACACTGTGGATTGAAATAAATTCTGAACAAACAACAGCACAGTAAGATTAATGTTCGGCTGCATCAAATACTTCGAAATAAATGAAAATGTACAAATTTAATTAAAACAAATACGGCACATCAATTGTTTTATTGCATATTAACATTATCCTGAGAATTTCAAACTGGTTCATTGACCTTTTCTTGGATCCAATCAACGAATTTCGCTACCCTAGTGTAAACTCCGGGAACCTCAGCCCGTGCACATCCAATACCATAGGAAACGACCCCAAGTTGGTAGTAGTAAAAATCGACACCATCACGTTGCGGAAACATCAACGGACCGCCACTATCACCCTGGCATGAGTCCTTACCCCCTTGCAGCTCTCCAGCACACATCACGGAATCATCAAATTGCTTATCCGAGAATGCTTTGTTGATTTTGGAATATAAACTACGGCATTCTCCATTGGCTATGATTGGAATTTGCAGCTCCTGGAGAACATTTGCCGATTTGCCTCCTTCTTGCGTCCTTCCCCAACCGGCCACAAATGGAGTGTATCCTTCAAAGTTTCGACTGCGGACCGGTTCGCTCACTGGCAGACAAATCGGTCGCACGGCATCTGAAATGAATGTTCGAGTTAAAGTCCATTGAACCTTGGAATGAGCAATATATACCATCGAACGTTACGTCTTCCCCGAGATAAAGTAAAGCCAGATCTGAGTGCCCATCCTTCTTATCGTAACTGGGATGTATCTCCATCTGCATGATGAAACAAATAAGAAAATGAAATTGGTGATAATTAAATCCATAAAGAAGTAAGAGGGTGAACTTGAAAACTGGCGATCCACGAGTTCAATGCATCATAGCGAAACCTACTCACCTTCACAACGGCAACATCAACGTGATTAGTCTCTGTATCGATGGATGTGTCATGCTCACCAAGTCGAACCGAGGACCTGGAAACACCCAAAATTGAATTTCAAAACAGATTTTAATAAAGACATAATCTTACAGATCTCTGCGAATACAATGAGCTGCTGTCAAAACGTGACGCTTGGTGATTAGTGATCCTCCGCACTTGAACGAAACCTCTCCGAGAGCATTCTTGTATCCAATTAAAGCCATCCACGGCCACCCATGAAGTACAGCCGGAACTCCGCCGACTACTCTGTTATGTTCTACCTTACTGTATCCACATCCACTGTTTGGGGAGGGAAGTGTTGTTATAGCATTATTCTTTGGCTGAGAAGGTCCCTCAGTAGCAGGTGCAGGTGGCTCTGGTGGTGCCACGGTTGGCGGCGGTGTAGGAGGAGCTGGCGTATACGTTTCCAGTGGACAACAAACATTTGGCTGAATGTAATTGCAAATTGCATTGGATTGTTGGATGAACCCAATAAATTGAGGATCTTTCTGTCGTTGCAAGAATTCGTTCAAAAGTGATGGACAAACTCGTAAACCTGGAAAAGTAAACTGTGCTGCACTATTTAATACACAGCTAATACTGAGGGGTAATCTTACTAAGGCAATTTCCTTCTCGATTATCCGGTCCAATGCAATCAGCTATGGAGATAGGAGCTAACGTTGTCGGAGCCTGAGTAGTTGGCCTGGGGGTGGTTGTGGTGGTAGTAGTTGTCGTCGTCGTCGTCGTCGTTGGCACTTCTACAAAAGGTGAACTGGTAGATGTTGGTTGGTCGTACTGAACTCCATCGGTACAGCAAAGAACGGGATAACCTCCACTAACTTGGTTCCCACAACTGCGTTGCGATGCAATCAAGAAATTTACGGTCTGCCTTGTCCTGTTATACTGGTAAAGCCGAACTAGCGATGGACAGTTTGGCAAGGGCTGACAAACGCCTATGACACCATTTGGCGTGTAACACGACCGAGCTACGGATCGATAAAACGATGAAGTTATACGATTGAACAAGTTTTCAATTATGGTTAGCAGCTCTTGAGTGATGGACAGTTTTTTATGTACCGTAAAACGAGGTAACACTGGTAGTTTTTTAAAGTTTATTCTAAATATTTTTTACAGCAATTAATGTTTTTCAAATTTTATAATTTTAAAACAAGTACTGAGGATCCAAGAATTAATTCGTTGGTAATATGGTGAACGAAAATTAAAGCATATGCACTGTTTTTTTTTAGTTTTGTGACCGAACTTCAGTATTTTGATTTGGGGTTACTTTGATAATGCTCGATGAATGTTGAAAAAAAATGAGTGAAACTCAAACAATTTAGTTCTTAAAATATGAAACATTGAATGAGTAGCTACAGAAAACTACATAGGCAATAAGAATACAACATTCAATTTGTTATGACTATATCAGAAATACATTTCATAAGTGATGGTTTGAGTGCTTTTTCAAACAGGCGAAAACACGGAAATTGTTTTTTTTTAATATGTTTGTAAAATATGCAACACATACTATATAAAATCTTTATACGATACCAACGGTAATACCTTAAGCTCCAATATGCAACCAATGTTTCTTATTTGGAAAAAGCGCAGCGAGTAAATTTACTCTTTATATTATACTATCAAAGCTACCCGCATTATCAAAGGTACCCCGTTTTACGGTACCTATCTTGAAATTGGCTTCGAGGAAACTCTTCGAAAAAAATGCTATTATGACAATCATGATAAACGCAAAATTTGTAACCCGGTGATAATATATTTTTGAAAATTGAATTGATGGATTACCTAGTTGGCTTATGAGTTTTTAATCTTTTAATAATATTTATTGTAGTGGTGTTATATTGATCCACGTGGTGTGTGAATACTCTCCTAGATATTTCTAATGTGTCCTATATATTTTTTAACTACAGGAGGTGCTTATGATCCATCAGTGAGTGGGCAAGTATTCCTAAAATGCTGCACTGCAAGTGTGTAGTTATTATTCGTGTAATTTTTTATCTGGAAGAGATTTCAAAAAAGTTATGCCAAACGTCAAATATGGCAAATGACTATTATATGTTATTTTATGCATAACGACTATGCGTTATGACAAACAACTATGCTTTATGCCAAACGACTAGCCTTCACCGCATTGTTCGGCCCCATCAGCGGAGGTATTCAGAGGTCGTAGATATTTTTTGTCAAAGCAGAAAATTACACTGATAAAATTTTTCACTTAGTTTCTATTAGGAACGCACATAATATTTTTTTCCAATAACAAAAATAATGATTGTTATCTGAATATTACATAGCATAAGATATTCTATTGGAGAAATCATATAGATTTCATTGGCCAGATAACCTGCATGTGATTTAGTGGTGCAACTTACAATTATGGGATCACATGAAAGTTATGTGAATTATTTTATGAGTGTAGTCCATGTAGCCCGTTGCAAGTTTGTTCCGTTGTTTGTATGGTGTAATATTACTTGCCAAAAAGGAAAAAATCTCATTAATACTGCATGAACTGACATTACGCTGCTTTCACTGCATTTATTTATTTTTGTGGCCATAAAAATTACATAAGATTTTCGACATGATTGAAGTGCATCCTCTTGAATGTAATATTAAAATTTATTTTTTGCTGTGCAGTCTTCACGAAAACATGTACCATGTACCAAAAATCAAAGCGAATGTTCAGGTTCAACTTATGTGGAATTTTGTTCACAAGAGTATTCACGATGTTTGTACACGGCTACATGGCACATGGGTTTGAGCACGGAGCAAAATTATAAAAATATAAACTAAGTCCTGTTTTGACCGTAGGTGGCCCTGTGTGAGCAAATCACTAGGAGTTATCTACCACGAAGCTGTAAAGATGGAGCGTAGAATCATGCCTCACTAACTAGTTCAGAACAACATATGTTACTAGGAAACAAACCGAAATCAAACAGGCGTTAAGTTTTAGTACACCTGAACCGTGCAGATTTATGCACTGGTGTTACCGAAGCAGTCATCCACACTTCCGGGAACGAACGTTCACTTTGTATTCGAATGAAGATGAAGACAAAATAGAGGCAACAAACTATAAAATGGGCCATAAAATAGAATGATGTTTTAATATAAGAGGCTGGCCATAGCCTGTGTAGACAACTATGAGAGATGTTTTGAGCAGAATTGTAGAGTAATTCTAGGAATAGTTCTTAAGGAGTTTTGAGCAAATTAGTCTCAAAGTTCCCAGTAATTTTGAAAGTATGTGAAGAACATTGTAAGGCGAACTTATAGTGATTTCTTAGGTAGTTCTGAAGAAGGAGATTGTGAGGTAATTCTGAAGCATGTTTGATGGAATTTCGGGGAACATTGTAAGGACATTCAGAGGAGAATTCAAAGTAAATTAAACTTGCGACGAACTTAATGATGACATGACTATAACGCCACGAATACACTTGTATGACAAACTATGAACATGAGCATTATTTGTATAATAAATTATGAGCACATCCATGGTCACACTTTTATAGTTTTTGTAAAGTTGTTGTAAAGTGTTCAAAATTATTATACAAATAATGCTCATGTTCATAGTTTATCATCCGCGGCATAACTCTGACACTACCGATAATAATTAAATAAAAGATTTTTCTAATCTCAATGTTAACGAGAAGCTTACCAAAATGAAAAAAAAAAATTGGCACGATTTGTTTTTTCTAGAACTATTGGTAAAAGGATATAAAAAATAAAAAAAAAAACACGTGCAAAAACATTTTTCTCATTTTAAAAATTTGGGGAAAAAAACAAAATTGTAAGGTCTGGTTTTGCGGTATTGTATACCCAACTTTCTACCATCATGATTTAGAAAAATGTTTTAACACGTAAATTTTCTTAAAAAACACATGAAAAACCGGTTATTTTTTTTATTTTTTTATATCATTAGGTATTTTTAGAACAACCAAAATATCAATTTTTCACACATATATATATATATATATATATATATATATATATATATATATATATATATATATATAAATATATGCTCAAATGGAATATCGATTATAATTCCAAGGGAATCTTATTCAAAAGGATAATTCTTAATACTTTTCAAATAATTTCAAGGAACTTCCGAGTTTCAAAGAAAAGAATTCGAAGGAAATTCTGAGCATATGTATTCCCAAATGAATGCTGAGTAGCATTTCAGGTAGATTCTGAAGAAAATTCCGAATAGAATTCCAAGGGAATGAAATTCTTAAAATAATTCCAATGGAATTCTTCTATGGGAATTCCGATGAGAATTCCAATGAAATTAGAAAAAAAAACGATCTGAAAGGAAATTTAAAAAGAATTTCAAGGGAATTCTGAAAAAAAAATCCATGCGTGATAACCAGATTCTAAGGTGATACCAAGGACATTTTGTGATAATTTTGGGAAAGCAAAGTTTTAGTCTAAGGACAGGGTGTATTCCAAGGTCCAGGATTGCGACAAACTTTCAAGACTCAGAGACTTCGGTTGGGTTGGGTTCGGTTGGGATCATGATACTAGAAAAAAAAACTTCTGAAATTGCGAGTTTACAAAAAATGCTTAGAAATGTTATTAAAATTCTCATTGGATACATTTAGGAAACTGTCAATATTATAGATTATAAATTTCAGGGACATGAATATTTTTTTAAGTCGTCTGAATGTTTATTGGTATCCCGGAGGTACTAAATATAAATTGAAGAAATTCGCACAATTCTAATCCTGAATTCATATTTCGTTCAAAACCTCCACAAAATTATTATTTTTTTGTTCATTGATTTATTTGATAAGGCTCAACCGAATTAACTATACAGAGGCCCTTAATACCGATGTCACTTCACGGAGAAGTGACAACTTATGACTCACGGTGAAATGATTCCCATTTGATTTACTCGGCAATCACTTCACCGTGAGTGACAACTGGTCACTTCATTTCGTTTTCACCTTGAAGTGACACCCGTAATAAGGCCCAGAGCCGAGGATTCTTGCTCACTATACAAAATATCTTAAAGCTATAGTCAAAAGGTACAACACAAGAACCGCTATCCAAAAAGCCTCCTCCATGAGAACGGGAACCGCTTCCAGCGGTTTCATTATATGGCAGTATCGCCAACTTCTATGGCCTGCTTCTGTCGACAGCCGAGTGAACACTGACCACATAATTATGAGCCTATTAAAATAATTATATTAAAATATATTGAATTTTTGCTATTTTTTTAATTGAAGCTTTAGTGAAAACTTAACACCAAAGCTTCAATTTAATTAATAAAATTATTTAGCAAAGATGAATTTTAAACTTTAACTATTTGTTTTATAATTACCACTCTAGTCTGTTATTTGAAATCAGCATCTTCAACTGTGAATTTTATTTTATTTTATGAAATATCTTTCGTCGACGGCATTACGGAATATGCCTGCACATGTGCTGATTTATTGCAGATTCTCTAGATCTTTTACGCTAAACTGACAGAGAATCCTTCATTCTCCGGTTGGGTATATAAACGAAGAAATACAATTTCTTCAGTCGAGTCTTGACACATACGCCCAAATACCAAATAACCGAAATAACTATTGCAATCTAATCCTGACGAAGACCATCAAACTGAAAACCTGTTCTTGTAGGCTATCAACACCCTGCTTGTTATTTGGGTAATAAAAGTTGTTGTTGAGATTCGTGACTGGCATTTAAATTCCATAAATTGGCCGGCCTCCCAGTTCAGTCGTTAGAGGCGCAGCTACAAAGCAAGACCATGCTGCAAGTGGCTGGGTTCGATTCCTGGTCCGGTCTAGGAATTTTTCGGGTTGGAAAATTTCTCGACTTCCCTGGGCGTAGAGTATGATTGATTTTGCCACACAGTTATACTAATGCAAAAATGGTACAGGCATCGAAAGTTCTCAATTAATAACTGTGAAAAAGTGCATCTAGAAACTAAGTTGAGAGCACGCAATAAGCTAATATGCGAAAAGCAATAAGCTTTAAATGCGAGAAAGAAGCAGAAGAAGATTTAAATTCCATAATAATCTATTTAAATCAACCCAAAGATCTTAACATTATTCACAGTAATACGGTTCTTATATTTGCACATAGCTATTTTGCATTAAATAGATAAATTCAGTATACGTCCTTCCGCAATGCAAACAAATGTCAATCTCGATAGGCTATCGATATCCAATGCACCGATAAATCAAATACGTGATTTATAATAACGCGTGTGTTTCCGCATTCTCTCTTCCAATTCTGTTTGTAATGCTTTGACAAACACCTCGAGAAAACCCCTTCCAACTAATAGTACGTAACTAATGTGTCATTCGTTTACAGACGCCGCGAAATAAATTCACGCAGCAACACTTTTTGTTCCCATTAAAAAGCACGCCTATGGTTATCATCGAGGCCCAAAAGTCACAAACCGAACGAACCATACACAGAATGAACACACGAAAGACATCAATTCATGCGATAAAGACACGAACCGGCTTTCCGTTGAAAAAATATATCCAAGTTTTCTGCACACAACCACAGCATAGACCAAATCCTGCTATTTCGACCTTGCTGTTTCGAAATTCTCCTTGATCTTGACTCGTTCGCAAGCTAAGAGCGCTATTGCTAAAATGTGTAGTAAGATGAATCACCATCTTAAGCCAATTTCAATCGCTCGAAACACCAGAGCACGGTTTAAAGTCGAAATGTCGATCTTTACCTTGCGGATGCACACTTTGCACTACTAATACAGTCAATATCGCAAGCTTCTGGATCCACATGTTTACAAACTGTCTCACGTAACCGGATTTTCAAATCGTCCTTAAATATCACATAACAGTACAAAACTCATAGAAACACTCTCAGAACGTTTCGTTCTTACTCGATCGGAAGACGCGGCAAGACTGACCTAAACCCGTTCTTCCAGTATCAATTTTAAGCAAAAACTGTATAAACAAATTGCGGATCGGAAACAACTCGTCGCACACCAACACCGCCTCGAACGCGGTCTATCTCTGCCATAAACATACCAGTCAATTAGCGGGCCTCCTCTAGCTGGACTGGAGGGAAGGAGAGCAGCGTAAAAAAAACTTCAGGTTAACACCGATGACGCTCATTATCAAATATGTGAACACAATCAGTGGTAGCGGAGATCGGAAGATGAGATTTATGAATCAATAATGAGCAACAGAGTAACCCTGTGCGATGAAGCAAGCTTGTCAATGCTTTGGGAGGATGGCTTTTTTAACTGGGCGATCGAGGTTTATCAAATCCGTTTGTCAAGCTGGAAACAAAATTTAACTATAGGACTCCGTAGATCAATGTTCTTTTTTTATATAAACTAATAAAACCATATTAAATCAAATGTTATCGGTTACTGCAATGGTAGGAGGTCCCTTAGTTAACATTAAAAACTTAAAGTGATATTCTAAGGAAGCCGTAGAGTGAAATTTCAAAAAACACAAATGTCAGCTTACACAAAACATAAAAATATGAAATTGAGCACCACTTCTTGGTTGCTGCACTACTAATTTCACACGCTAAGGCTACCTTAGAATATCACCTGAAGCATTAATTCCAAATTATTCTTTTCTGCCGGTGCACAAAATTGATCACCCAAATTACCTATGACTTAGTTTACATACGGTTAAGATCTAATTTCCGACATGCTGAGCACATTTATTCTGATTTTATTTTCCTTTCCATACGTACCGTTAGATTTGATAAAGAATCACAAATTGTTGCACTATTGTTAAAAAGCTTCGTGATTCCACTTCCATCATAGGAGTTTCAATTCCGTCCAAAAACAATTAAACGTCATTGGATTACTTTGTTTCTTAGCTTTTGAACTAAACTATCGCAGAAAACATATAATATATTTCAACCCGTTTACATCAATTATCTTGCCTTTGATAGTCATATTCAGTGACAAATATTCACCTGGTAACAAAAAGTGTTATTTTGGGCATTCTTATCCACATTATTATTAGTCATGCAGTTGAGGACGTAGATGCATATGTATTTACTTTGACCGCTGCATGGATTTATTTTGCTAAATTAATTTAGTTTTGATAAAAATTTAGCCGAAGAATAAAACAGGCAAATGTTCGTCACTGAAAAATGTCACGGCAACCTCTGAAGATCATCTTCATTTCGTGATAGTGACGAAATTTGTTTTGTCAATATCGTCGTAAACTAGGTACAATATAATAGAGATAGCACTGATCCGCTCCATCATCATCACATGAATCAGGTGCTTTCCGCACCTGGAAAATCCGCCGCCACAAAAACAAAATCACCGGCTGTGCAATACCTGTGAAAGAAATTATGTTGAAAGTACTTTCACAGCGTGGAATGCCCAGTAAGTGATTAACAATGTTGTTGTTTACGTTCGGCGGAACGACGTCGTAATTTAAATGCATAATTGTCTTATGAATGATTTTCAATCAGATAACCGCAACCAACGTGAGATCAATCAGTATATGTGTTCGTTACAATGGTAAAGACCGCTCAAAGGCACAGTTAACACTACCGAAGCAGTGAATAAACATGCATCGATTAACACTGATTTGTATAAATATTTATAGATCGTGATTTATTAAACACGATTGTCGATTGCCTCCTGCTGATCCCTAATACACTTTGCCACAACAAAACCGATCGCGATAGGGAAGGGTGCTGAATGATTTAAATAGCCTGTAATTAATCGACTTTATAATGTCTTAATTGTCACATAGATGCTAAAAGTATTGAACAGAACGATTGAGTTGATAAACAAAGTATAATTAATATTTAAAAGAAAATTAATATGGTCCGGTATCCCAGTTTAGATTCTATTACAGATTTGCATGAAAAGTATGCAGAATTTGCAATGTTTCCAACGTGTTTAAAATAGTTTAGTACTTGTTATATTAGCTTATTTTTCGAACAAAGTTTGTTTCTCCAAATGTCTAGAAAATCATCTTGTGAAGATTTCATACAAAAATATGCGTTTTGGAAAAACTTCCTTCCTTGCATGGAAACTTTGCATAGGATGTAATAAATCCAACATTACATTGAATTTTAGAGAAATTTGTATTGCATACTCGGCACAAAAATACTTTCTGTCATTTATGCTCCTCGCGAATCACAGAAAAAGGCAAAGTGTAGTGTATGTAGTAGAGGAAATGGCTCTATGGATCTAAGAGTGGGCCCATCGCTAAAGATCTGCTATTAATCAATTTTATCTAGATGAATGCGTCATTGGGACGGTACTTATGGATATTTTTGGTCGCTATGGAAAATTTAGACGATTGCTGAATTTATGAATGGGCCCAAATTAGGGTCGTTTAGGCCGACATTACATCCATTTCCCCTACGTATCGATTGTGATATCGGGAATCACCAGAAATGGTCATGAGAAAAGTTGATGAAGATATAACGTTATGTTATTGTTGTGTTTGTGATTTTTTTTTACTTATTTCGGTAACGGTGGCGGCGCGGCTGTTCGGTGGTTGAGAATAAGCATCACACGAAAAAGAAAATATTAACAACCGTCGTTCTTTTTGCGATTTATTTGGTCGACCGTTGTTTTTTAAAGCGTAACCAAAGGTTTTATATGCCAGCGCCGGTGGTGTGGTGGTGAGCGTAACAGAGATCAACGTTAAATAAAGGAATGAAGCAAAGGTTTTATAACGCTCCCGTTGGAAAAAAATTGAGCCATCCCACAGTGGTTTGAATGCTCAATATCACGAACTTTTTTATTTGCGCCTTCAATGTCGGTTTTTTCACTATGGTGTCTTTAAAAGAGTTTTTGCATAAAATAAGGCGCAAAGACTAGTGATAGGTTTTAGTTCGGAACTCCACCACAGGCGGCGCTGCAAAATCTAACTTTTTACATTTACAAGATAGGTATGTGGTGTCTTCAGCAAAGTTGTAGATAATTTTACTACAAAAATCTTTGCTGAACTCACAAAACCTCTATATTTCTTAGTTTTTGAGATGCGTAGCGTTTAATATGACTGTTCAACAAAATTTAATTTTTTTTCACTTTTTATAACATATTTAAAAAACTATAGGTTTTAGAAGACTATAATGTTCAACAAATATATGTATTTTATTACAATACAAAACTTTGTTAAAGACGTCCAAAAGGTATCGATTACACAGACTGAGTTATTCACAAATTTAGTAAATTTTTTTACATATTTTGTGCCCTCACAGACAAAAATCCGGCAAAATCCGGCAGATGAATCTTGAATAGGATGAAAGCTTGTTCAAAAGTGATCTCAAATTCCATTGAAACATTTGTCCCTTTTAGTATCCTCGTTGATTATTTTGCATTTCAAAAAGGTCTTGACCACGGACATCAGAGTAATTGCCATAATCATAAATCACAGTAGTCTACTTGAAGGTAATATATAATTTTCAGTTAGCTATTATTATATTATAATTAAATGATTTAACTTTATTACGTTATACATCATTGTATGCATGTACATATATATAAATATATAAAATAAAATATTAACAAAGGTTACACAATATTGTTATCAAAAACATTTTCATCTTTCTCTTCCACATCAAGCATGTATTTCGCATCGCTACAGAGGTAATTAATCGGCTTGTCTCGAGATGCTCTAAAGTTGCTGATGAGAGGATCAGAAAATGTTCCCATTTGATTCCAATTTGATCGGCACAATGGATGTAATAAACATATTTGCATCGGATTTAGTTCCGTCATCATCGTCAAGTGCTTGCTTGTGTTCACTTAGTCCAGTTGTGCCATCAAATCCCCACTTAATCATCATTTTCTCCAATTCGTCATCACTAAACTTTTACAGCGTGGACGCATTTGCATCAACAATCCTCATTGTCGTGTGCTCCAAGAGATTCTTTAGTTTCACTTCTGCAGACGTTTCCGAAACTACTAACCCTGTATTGGGATAACAGCACTTTTTAGTTTGCAGCACTTTGTAGTAGGACGGATACAAAGGCACATTCCGATCCAGAGCTCCATTACGAAGCTTTTCGTATTGGTCTTTCGATAAATTAAGATCCAATATTAACGCAAGAGCTTCCGTCCCCGAATAGGGTACAAAGCCATTTTTGGATGATTGCATAGCCGAACCCATTTTCACGACTCTTGTCGGAGTTGTTTGCGTTGCCTGTTTTACAATGAACGCTGTATCTTCTTTACCATCCTCACGTAATTTCATTTGGGTTGCAAATGCAAGTTCATCTGTTGGGTAGTTAGACCGCATTGCAGACGTCTTGCGTCTCTTAACAACCTCCAAAGATTTTCTTCCACGACGGGAAGATCCAGAAGTACAAGGGAAACGATCAACAGCTTTCTGTGGTAGTTTGAAGGGGCTATCGAAATAACCACGACTGCTTTCAAGCATAGTCCGGTTGTGGGTTTCCCACAGTTTTTTTAATATTTGCATGTCGCCTTCACAAAATGGTTGATTTCAGCTGCCACTTGGGTCCAGAGAAGTTTTTGACTGTTACGGCATTGATTATGTTTCAATGCCGTAACAGTCAAAAAGTTCTCTCGACACAACGTCTGATTTATCAATGTCGTTTCCCTTAAATTCTTTCCACAGTTTAAAAAGCTTTCGCCTGTCGATTTCAACTGAAATTTTATTTGATAACTTATAATTTAAACTATTTTTGAAATTGTCACAAACAAATAACTTCCATAGATAACTCATTTATATCATGAATTGGAAATTAACACTGAATACCTTATTAACTACATGGTTGTACTTACTTTCATTGTTGAAAGACATGCTTTTCTCACTTTTGGGATCTGCTACGGAAATGTTGAAAAAATAACCTTCACATTTTCTAAGGAATATGCGTTTAATGCTGCAAAACCGATCAATGTGTGATCAAACTTTGTTATATTATCACTGAGCCTACTTTGATTCAGTATTTGACAAATGCGCGCTGACACTGAACTACGGAACGACTTTTTAAAAATACAAAACAATCAACGAGGATACTAAAAGGGACAAATGTTTCAATGGAATTTGAGATCACTTTTGAACAAGCTTTCATCCTATTCAAGATTCACCTGCCGGATTTTGCCGGATTTTTGTCTGTGAGGGCACAAAATATGTAAAAAAAAATACTAAAGTTGTCAATAACTCAGTCTGTGTAATCTATACCTTTTGGACGTCTTTAACAAAGTTTTGTATTGTGATAAAATACATATATTTGTTGAACATTATAGTCTTCTAAAACCTATAGTTTTTTAAATATGTTATAAAAAGTGAAAAAAATTAAATTTCGTTGAACAGTCATATTAAACGCTACGTATCTCAAAAACTAAGAAATATAGAGGTTTTGTGAGTTCAGCAAAGATTTTTGTAGTAAAATTATCTACAACTTTGCTGAAGACACCACATACCTATCTTGTAAATGTAAAAAGTTATATTTTGCAGCGCCGCCTGTGGTGGAGTTCCGAACTAAAACCTATCACTAGTCTTTGCGCCTTATTTTATGCAAAAACTCTTTTAAAGACACCATAGTGAAAAAACCGACATTGAAGGCGCAAATAAAAAAGTTCGTGATATTGAGCATTCAAACCACTGTGATCCGGCTCAATATTTGGTGAGATCCATCCATTTAATAAAAATTTAATCTATACCAGGACATAACATAAAATGCATTTATAAATGAAACAATACTCAAAAACTAAATACTACAGGGCATCATTTGTTGGCTGTTGCTGCGGGTATTGTGGGTTTCAAAGGTATCCGATTCAAGCTTCAGTTGACTGCGATGACTCTTATTATCCTTCTATCCCTGAATAGATAGTGCGAATAAGGGCGTCTATGTGATGTGTTGCTGTACATGTTGTGGACATTAGTACATCATTTTCCTTAAACTGGCTTAGAACGCCTTGTCTTGACTCAAAAGTTTCCCTTTTTAAAGTACTGATCTTCACAACATAAAGTGCACCATTAAGGAGCATAAGATTTGATCAAATTATTCGCAGTTATAATTGTCCAACGCTCCCAACTGGGTGAGTGGTACAGGATGATACACACAGCAGTCGACGTACAGTGGCAGTTGTCAAATTTCTCGGCTATCCTTCAACTAGTTGAGCTGGTTTTTTATAGATAACTAATTTATGGTTGACACCATTAGCATTGGTCGAAGGACAACCGAGAAACAGCGGTGGGTGAAGAGATTACTGTAATTTAACTTAGTGGGCCGTAAAAAAGTTTACTTTACGTATCCGGCAAGAAAAACACTGGAGGCTTTACTCTACTTTCTTTACTCATACGGCCTAGTGTTTCTTGAGCATATTCACAGTTTACTATGTTGATAACACTGATTCTCAATCGCTGCTCTAAAGATGAAAGTCAATGTTTTTTTTCTAAAACAAAAAATGAGATTGGGAACATCACGCTATGCCTGAAGACACTTTTTTGCAACTTTCAGTTACCTCGGTTTTTTATTCGCAGGAAGTTAGTATTGATCCTAACTATCAAATTTGTGAAGGGTTAAAAAAAAAAAAAAATTTTGAGAAAAAGTTTTTTTATGTTTACATATTTAGTCGTTAAGGCGTAAAGAGAATATTGACGGTACAACATTATTACGGATCTCAAAAAAAAATCCGCTGAAAATGATATAAAAGGCGAAGATTCCCTCTTCGGTACCGTAAGGTATCGTGACTTTGTCATGATATCATAATGTTTTTATTAATTTTTTTTTCCTTAGTTTTTTTTCCGTCGATCTTGTTTTCCGTGCTGAGCAACAATGCTACCGACGCCAGGAAGGCAGCTCCCGTACCTGGACCCTACCTATCGACCCATCAACTCATGAACCGGGGACCAACGGCTTTACTTCCCTTCCGAAGGAAGGCGTGATCAGAGATGTTATGCCTCAGAACATCCCGGCGGCGCCGACTGGGATTGAACCCAGGCCTGCTGGGGTGAGAGGTAATCACGCTTACCACTATACCACTCTAATGTTTTTATTAATAAAATAATTAAACAATGGGTTTACTCTCTAACTTTACTATTATTATCAATTCAATCCATTCTTATCAATCCTTACATAAATATCTAATGAAATTAATAAAAAAATACTTGGTGCAGCCAAACAAAGAAGATTACTTCAAATGAGCACTATTATACTATAGCATCGCTTTCAACAAGTTCTCGTCGTATTTAGCATGATTTTCTGTTACTTTATAGCTACTCCAGCAATAAAGCAAGACCATGCTGAAGGTGGCTGGGTTCGATTCCCAGTCAGGTCTAGGAATTTTTCGGGTTGGAAAATGTCTCGGGCATAGCGTATGATTTTACATGCCACATAATTATATTAATGCAAAAATGGTATCAGAACTTGTAATCATTTTGGTATAATCCTTTGATGAGAAAAAACCCGAAACTTGAAAACTTAAAAAAAATAACTCAAAAACAAAAAAAAAATAACAGCTGATTTTTTATATGTTGCGTAAAAAAACCTAAATTTTCAAGGAAAAATATAAAAATGTATTGCAACCTATGTCTACTAACCATGAAAACCATAAAAACAAATACAATCAATGTTTTTCAACACAAAATTCAATTTTTTAATATCATTATATTTTTCTTAAAAATTATTTAATGGTTCAAAAGTTATAAATTAAAAAAAAGACATGTTTGAAAAAAAAATCAATTTTTTAGACCACCCTTACATGGAAATGGTCACCCTAATGAAAAAATAAAAAAAATACGAGTTTCATATACTGCGATAAGGAACAAAACTACAATTTATTACGAAATTTTGAAAACCACTTTATCGTTTTGCTATGGATTGTATATTGAGTCCCAATTATAATTAAATTCGGAAGTCGAGAATATTTGCAAATCGATAACTCAACTGAATCAGGAAACAAGGCCCCAGGGATTTTATAGCCTCCAAGATGGACGGCTTTGCTTCACTAGCTTTAGGTTAACGAATGTTCCCAATACGAATATCAAATTGAGAAGTGTATGAATCACGACTTATTGTTATCTAAATTAATCACCGAGTCGCTACTGAATGCAAATCGTAATTGGCTGTGAATTACCACTACAAGCCAGACGCACACACCCTCTTACCAACTTGCTGCTATAGGACAGTAGAATTTATATTCTCTAGAAACTTCATTCGAAGAAACAGAAAATAATTTATTTGAAGGACACTTCCGCTGCCTGTGCGACATTGCTGGTTGCTCTAGCTGTATGGTACTGAATTAGTCATCAAAACTTGATGCATCCGTTTTGCAGTATTCAGGCGTTCAGCTTAGATTCGATCCATGGTATGTATGGACTGACCTTTACGTAAACTCCTGGAAAACCAGGCTTTGCACACTCATAGCCATAAGAAACAATTCCAATCAGGTTGAAATAATAGAACTGCCCGTTTGTGGAATGCTGTTGAAGGAAAACATGATCATTGAATAAAACCATCGATGCAGAGGAGGAACATATTTATCACTTTCAAAAACCGACGCAATTGACAAAATAACTTGATTATTTTTTCATTTATAGAAGTGGTTAAAATTAAAAAAAAAAGCTTCAATGAAAGAAATATTTCTCATGAATTCAGAATGATTCTTCAATGGTATGGTTATGATTCACGTGAGACACTATTGGCCGGTGGGAATTCCCGTAATTAACACCGTTCTCATGTATGTGCGATTGACCGATAATTTCCGCATCGTCGCAGATGCGAAGGGTTTTGATGGGCATGAAACTATATTTGTCTAGCGTTTCTGCTGCGTTTTAGAGCTTACTCATAAATGTGTAACAATTTTTCACTTAAGCGATTTCATACACAACTTCCTACATAGCACCATGCACAGAAACCAAAATCGTATTGTTGCAGAATTGGGCTCTCACTCACCTGCGGCAACATTAACGGTCCTCCGCTATCGCCTTGGCAAGAATCCTTTCCGCCTTGGGGAAATCCAGCACACAGCACTTTATCATCGAACACTTGATCCGGAAAATACAGCTTATAGTTGAATGCACATTGATCAATTGGTAGCACGATCACCTGCACTTCCTGCAGACGGCTTGCCGTTGGCCCTCGGAACGATGTCGTACCCCAACCGGCAATGAAGGGCGAAAAGTAAGTAACATCAGCAGAACGCATGGGTTCTTCCACCGGTAAGCAGATCGGTTTGATCATATCCGTTGATGGTGAATTGACTTGCAAACGTATGAGGGCAATATCATTTTGAATGGTTTTTTCGTTATATTGTTCATGCACTATGGTTTTTTCAACGTAGATATCAACAGGATTAGCTCCGTCATTGTTGGAGTTGATATCATATTCTCCCAACCGGACAAAATAGAGCAAGCTTTGAATGCAATGAGCCGCTGTCAGTACATGTCTGATGGTAATCAGTGTTCCACCGCAAAGGAACACTGGACCGGCAGTAAGATCGAAACTACTGGAACGATATCCTAAGGCTGCCATCCAAGGCCAAGCTCCCAGCTGAGCATCTATGCCTCCAACAACTCTAGAATGTGATGCATTGGACATTCCGCAACGATCAATAGAATTGGTAGGCAGTTTGTAGGAACCTTGTAGAGGACGGGTGGTTGTTGTTGTTAAAAGCGGAGTATTTGTACTGAGTGATGACGCCGGAGCGTCTGAGAAAAAGAAAAATGATCCAGAAGTAGTAGCAGGGGTTGTAATAATGGTTGAGGCCCGTGTAGTCGTAGAGGTAGTTGTGGTTTGTTGAGAGAAACGAAGAGCAGGGCAGCAAACCTACGAAATAAATAAAAAGCGTGAGAAAAATAGTCAGATTAATTAAATTTGAGAAATCTCCACCGTTTCCTACCCGAGGAAAACCGGTTAAAAAATGAAAACAAATCGATATTAAAGTTTACAGTTCCTATCATAATGAAAACTCATTTTGATTTAAATTGTCGCGACAGAAGTCTGATATCATATTGTGCTTTCATTATGCAGTCAAGAATTTTTAAATAAAAGCAACTTAACTTGAAGTTCTTGAAAATTTAAATTGAGTTCATCTGTTGTTGAACTAACGATTATTGTTTATTTGTTTTGTTTAGCACATTTTAGGTCATTCGTGACTTGCCCGGGGTGAGATTTGAGCAGAAGCATAAATCAGCAATCAAATTGATTTAATTGAAAGCAGGATTAGTTTTCCGTTTGATTCAACAGTGTAAAATGTTGCTCTCATTTTTGCTGTTTTAACCGTTAAGTCAACCAAAATGATATCAACTGGAGTATTCAAAATAAGTTACATCATAACAGCAAATTTTTATTTCAATTTGATCTCCAGCTTTGCTCGGGTAGCGTCTGGAATAAATATCCTCCTCAACCACCATTAAAGCTATATGAATAGGGTCAGGAATTCAGGGTATTGAAGTAGTGACTAGTGTAGACAATACAAGTGTGCTGCTAATTTAATCAAGTGAACGACATTTCCTCCAATGGGTCACTCACATCTAGCCGGAAGCCATTTAGCCAAATATCCTACGTTTAAACTTGCTAAATGAAATTCCAAAAACAGCCTAAGCCCTTTCCAAGCCGATCAGTTAACAGTACATAGGAACTCACAAGTCAACTTCCGGCATAGGAAGGTATTCAGGAAAATGAAGTTATGGTTTCATTCGATGTCACAGCTCCTTTTCCCTAGGTAAAGGAAGTTATTAGACTTTTGGAAGATTGGCTTCTAAAGTGACGTGAGGATTCTATTTGAAAAAAACAAAGTTTGGATGTATCTCAAGCTTACTCGTCCTTGTATGGTGGGCAATTATTTCATTTTTATATGTACTTTTTATCAACAGACTAATGGACCTCCTATGGGAAATCCTCTCTCTCCATTTTTGACTGATGACATTTCATGACTGACCTAGAAAATATTTTGACGGAAAGGCATTTGTTGCTCAGGCAAGTTGGTATAGGTACGTCGATGATATATTCAGTATTGTCAAGAGGGAAGATTTACCAAAAATTGTGGATGTCATAAATAATGTTCAAAAGGATATAAAGTTCACTCATTAAGAATAGGAAGATTGCAAACTGCCTTATCAGGGAAACGTCATCTATCGATTTTGAAATCTATACGAAACCAAAAAACATCAAGCGAGTAATTCCAAGCTCTTCAAACCACTCTAATCAACACAATGGCCACATTCCATCACATGATTCACATGATGCAAATCACAATCGAAGGAAATGGTTCATATTTTTTAAATGGGTATCAACAGAACACAGAACTATTCAGGCAAAAATCGACAAAAAATGAAGGACCATTTGAAACGGACAATGACAACTCTTGCACCAGTGACAGAACATTTGAAACATTTGACGGGCACATTAATTACTAAAACGTTGAGTTCAAAGTTGAGGAGTTTTGGCCTAGATTAAGTATTCAGTAGCAGGGATAATTAGCTGAAGTCGTTGTTAGGATCAACAAAGGACCCAATAATGCCTTGGAAAAGCCAGTGTCTACTAAATGTACAGTCCAAATTGTGATCTAATATGGAAACGAAGTTCAAGGAACATATCGCTGAAGTAAGCAAGGCAAAGAAGGAGATGGATAAAGGAGTTCATTACGACTTCAGATCTAAGGTTGCAGAAAATATTTTCTCAACGGGGCACAATTTGACAAAGTATAACATCGTTATCTTATGCCGAGATTCCAAGTTGTTCTGTAATTTATTTAGCTAAAATTCACTAAAACAGGGTAAAAGGGGATACATTGGAGTGGTTAAAAATATCGATTTTTCACTACCAAGCCTAATCGATTTCAAATCGGGTCCTGGTAATTCTCTTAAAATTTGAGCTGACCCTTCAAAGTTTATATGAGAATTACTATGCGAAAAGCTAAATTTTTGTTTTCATCGTACTAGCTCTTCGCTGTAATGATCTGCGGAAAAGTTTACTATCTGTAGTAATGTGAAATTTTCTCAGCTGCAACTTTGCTCAAGACCGCATTTGGATTGAACGTCAGGATAATTAGTTATTAATTAACTATTTAATTAAGATGATATACTTTTGACATGCTCAATAAACTGGTCAGCAGGTAACACTGATGTACTTGGCGCGAACAATAGGGCAACAAATCTAGGTCATAAGTACAAGATGCGGTGTCAATTAATCATTTCAGAAAGTTATCGGATTCTAAATCAACTAATAAATAATTACCTTGAAGAGAAGACTTCATATCCAGAAGACTGGCAACTTTGCCAGAATCCAAGCGACAGATACAGTAGCGCTGCGCTTGAGTGATGGTGGAAGCAACGCATAGAAAAATTAGCAAATACACAAACCTTTCTTCTGAGGATGCAATCTTTGCTATCAAATTCGTTCGAAGCATTTACCTTTGAGCTGCAGATGACGCCATTGTACCTTGATATGTTGTCTTCGCTTAAAGTTTAATCAGAAAATGGCCTTTAGCAAAGTTCTAGCTGATAAAATTTTACGTATTACATACTACTTTTTTATATATATTGGCTTGGTGGCCCTTCGAAAGAAAGCATGCAGAATAGAACAAAAAATAGGGCACCAGATTGTTAAGGACAACCCTGTAAAAAATGTGAGATATTTAATCTAAAAAACCTCATTAAAATGGGAACATACTATTGATGAATCTACGCAAAACTGCACCAGTGCATGCGACACCTAGGTTTGAAATCCAAAACCACAAAAGTGATGATGTACTAAAAAATATTCAATACGATTTGACAGCTAGCAAAACGTCATTATCATTTTCACATCATTTCCATCTACTGGCTGACCGTAACGTAGATTCATGCTATCTTTTGTGACATCCAAAAAATGAACTTTTCACCCTTCTAAGAATCAAATTATTTCAGAAAAAAAATACCACCATCACCACACACTACACCATATACTCACCATTTGTGAAAGATCATGATTTCCACAGATGCTCTGAAGAACATAGCGCTCTATATTTGGATCACGTTTTTGAGAGTTTAGGATCAGCAGACGAACAATGACGTCACAGTTCATGTACACGATACAAACGCCAGGCTGACCGTCCGGAGTATAACAGGCTTCATCTGCATATTCAAACGGAACACCATTTATGTTTAGTCCATAATGATTCAAATCGATGTTTACCTAAATTTATGCATTTATTACGCTAACTGTCTTGGATCGATACAGGGACAACCATTTGGAAGCTGTCGGGAAAGAGGTCGAGGATCGATGCTAGGTAGTGGGAATGTAGTTGTCGATGTAGGAATTGGAATCAAAGGGGGACACGTTGGTGTTATCGGTGAGCAACTTATCGTAGTTGGGAACGTGCTTGTTATTGTTGGAGGATTTATGGTCGATAGGAACGTTGGGAAAGTCGGAAGAGGTGAGAAGTTAGTCACGGAAGTCGTTGGAGGAAGGGAAGTCAGCGTTACGCCAGGAATGGTGTTAGTAGAAATAGGTGATGTAAATGTAACTGTGGGGAATAACGGTGAAGTCAACGTAGAAGTGATTGGAGGAACAGAAATCGTTTGAGTCGGTTGCGTAGAGATACTGGATGAACTAACAGTTGTAAGAAAAGTGGTACTAGTGAACGAAGGAGGAGTTAATGTTTGAGTATTCGGAGGAGTAGAAACCGATACTGGTGTTCCAGTCGATAATGTTGTTTGGAACGCAGTTGATGTCAGTGTTGGAAAGGTCGTTGGAATAGTACTAAATGTTATCGTGCTTGGAGTACTAAGTGTTGTGGTTTGTGTGCTGAACGTAAGAGGTGGTTGAGTAGTCATGGACTGAGTTGTTAAAGGAATAAACGTAAAACGTGTTGTGGATGTAGAAGATGGAAATGTATAGCCATTTGGCAGGGTGATGAAGGGAAATGGGGTGGTTGTTTTATAGTACACCAAACATATTCCTTTCCAATGCGCTAGTTTTGCAATCCACGGAAAAAGTAACAACTTCCAGCAGAATTCTTCTAACGACATAACACTGAACAAGCACACTTTGAATCACCCGTCGCGAATTGCTCGAGGTACCACATGGAACTGAATACTCACTGAGCATAACGCTTAATAAATACATCACACGCAAGTGAATTATTCTCATTTGTCATCGTTGAACAATGTTTGTTTAAAAAGCGGTAATATAGCGTAGAACAGAAAAAGTCAATGTCACATACAGCTGTTTTTATACTCCAATTGAAATGGTTGGAACACGCCTTATTAACGCAAGGCCATTTGAATTAGCCTGCAAAATTCAGATACCTACATAAAATCGAATTCACTGCATCCACGATTTTAGAATATTGACTGCCCTTCAAATACTTTGCATTTACCCAATTACGACTAACACTATGCGGCGATGTTGATCAAAACGTAAATATTTGAAAAGTTACTAGAGCATAACGGTGCGACACTACGTCACTAGCTTGTTCGTGACTATATAATGAAGCTGTTGTGGTTGATGGTGTTGTAATAAACGTTTGGGAACAATCGAGGTTCACGGTCAATGGGTCAACAACGCTTATTGTTAATTATAAGTGATATGATAACACTTTTTTTCTTTACTCACTCTGTCCATTAACAAGTCCAATCGATACAATCATCAGGAAGATACCATCAATCTTCACATTCATGATGAGTGACCTTTTGCGCTTAGTTTTAGAAAATCACTACTGATACCGCGAAGATCCAAACCGATAGCTCTCCACTTTATGACTAACACTATGTGTAGCAGTACAACTGTAGTTTGCTTCCTCTCAGTTATGGTTTAGTTCGAATATTTTTGCAAACTACTACAATCACTGCGATACTGCCGGTTTTTGTTATCGAATTATCAACAATAACCGAGGGGTCGATTTGATGATCCGATGTTAATATAATCCAAATTATCATTCTGTGAGACCAATCCTATCAAACATTATAGGGGAAATGACGGCTTCGGCATGACAGACTATTTTCGGCAACCCAAATTGAAACACTATTTTCACTGAATTTTCTTACGAAAACACTTTGTTGAATGCATGCAAACGATTCTTTATGCTTTCAGCTTCAATTTGACTATATTTTTACCACTGAGAAAAAGCAATCTAGCAGGGTTTTCTTGAAATGAAACACACGCACTACAAATTGTAGCTGATTTCGAGCTGCCGATAATAGAACAGCAGATTTACATGCAGTTCAAATGGAACGGTTGCCGAAGAAAAACTGGTTGCCGACAATACTCGCTCTCACTAGAGAAGATTGGAGCTTTGTAAAAGCGTTTCAAAACAGTTTTTGACAATTCTTTCGACTGAAATTGTTAGAGCAGCTGGCAGCAAAAAATTGTAAACAAACCAATACTGCATATGTGTGCGTTCCTTAGAGAAAAAGGCTATAGAAAGATGGTCGCTGCTTAGGTTGCCGAGAATACGTAAATTCCCCTATAACGCACAGATTCATTCGAGATAAATTATTAATATCAGTATTTAAGCCATAACGTAATAACCAGCCCTAATAAAAAATAACCATAAACGAACGATAACCCAAATCATTGAACTATTCCACAAATGGTTTGGATGATACCCAGAACACGTCGTTAAGCAAATTAACCATACAATTTTTATTAGGGAGATCATCTATTAGATTGGAGGGTTTTCAAACTTTTCCATTTACAGAGCACAGTTCTTATAACCTTGCCTAGATTGCTTTAAATTATGAAAAAAATGTTTATTGTGTATGGAAAAAGCATTATTAGCATTGTAAAACCATACTGTACTATCTACTGAAACAATTCGAACAGATCACATGCTATAGATTCTGTGACTACTTTTGAGTTTATCGGTCCCGTTTACTCCTCGTTGCCCCAAGTAGTGGTTAGCGTCCATACCTCTCATACTAAAGGTCACCCGTTCAAATGTCTTCTCCGGACATGTCACGAATGACCTAACAATGCGACTATGTATAATAAAAAAAAACTTATTTAATCCCCCTATGGAGATATCTGCTCCTTTTTAATAATAGAAATTCAGACAAAAGAGCTCATATCCCAAGTAACAATTTTGGTTTTATGAGGGTTCTGTAGTCCATGATTTAGATTTATAGCATGCTTTAAAACCTCGATAAAACTTGCAATGTTTCTTGGGATATGATGTGATTCATTTCTGAATCGGGCGAGTGCATGTTTGGGTTCACGCCCATTGGACACCAATCACGGTGATTTTGTTCCGGTTGAAATTAAATTCTTGTAAACTTATCTTCATCATTGTGCTTGATTTCCATTTGTTCCCGGCGAGATGGCCTCGATCGTTCGTGCTTCATTGTTAGATGAGTTTAGCTTTTGCTCATTTTTTAAACATAATTCGGAATTCAGGAAAGAACATAGGTCCGCAAAGTTCATTTCTAGATCTAACGAAAGTAAAACTGGTTCCATTTTGATTTGTTGTGTTTGAGTCCGCACCATTCGACTTATAAGACGTAATTGAAAAATTTAATTGGTTGTTCAGAGAGATTCCTTTTTTATGGCTTTCTCAGTCTACGGTAGTCCAAACGGTCAGTAATGCATTGCCCGAAGTTTCAGTCGTTTATTAAAATCGAACTCCGTGTAACTCCATGGCAACAAAAACAATTTAACGACAAACGGTAGACAGTGTATGTTCATGTTATATCAATGTTTAATGTTAGTAGTAGTCTCTATAAATTGTAATACTTTTCTAGTTCAGAAGAAAATTATGGGATAAAACCAAAGCTCCATCAATTCAAGCATTGCGCCGTCAATAGGTCGTAGTCGTCATGCGTCGCTATCATTCAGCATAAGTTTACCAAAACGAAAAGTAAACAGTCCGAAGCGTTGGAACGTCATACATCATAAAATATTACATTATAGATCATGTAAAGCTGAGAACCATTTAATGAAATAATACAAATTAGCATGCAACCGTCTATCTTTGTTAGCAATATTTCATTCAGGTTAGTAATATGATATGAAATTCATGTTTACACGCATAGATGTTTACATCACCAGGAAATTTCAGATTTTTTTCTTTGTAGAATTTAGAGAAGGCATAACCCTAATAAAAATTGTATGGTTAATTTGCTTAACGACGTGTTCTGGGTATCATCCAAACCATTTGTGGAATAGTTCAATGATTTGGGTTATCGTTCGTTTATGGTTATTTTTTATTAGGGAAACGCTTTGTCATAGCTTCATGTATCCGGGTCGATCGCTGCGGTTAGTCCTGGTGTAAGGAGCACCACCGTTGGGTTTGAGTGGTAATATCATTATTATGATGAATTTAATATAGGGGAATTTACGTATTCTCGGCAACCTAAGCAGTGACCTTCTTTCTATAGCCTTTTTCTCTATGGAACGCACACATATTGGTTTGTTTACAATCTTTTGCTGCCAGCTGCTCTAACAATTTCAGTCGAAAGAATTGTCAAAAACTGTTTTGAAACGCTTTTACAAAGCTCCAATCTTCTCTAGTGAGAGCGAGTATTGTCGGCAACCAGTTTTTCTGCGGCAACCGTTTCATTTGAACTGCATGTAAATCTGCTGTTCTATTATCGGCAACTCGAAATCAGCTACAATTTGTAGTGCGTGTGTTTCATTTCAAGAAAACCCTGCAAGATTGCTTTTTCTCAGTGGTAAAAATATAGTCAAATTGAAGCTGAAAGCATAAAGAATCGTTTGCATGCATTCAGCGAAGTTTTTTCGTTAGAAAATCCAGTGAAAATAGTGTTTCAATTTTGGTTGCCGAAAATAGTCTGTCATGCCGAAGCCGTCATTTCCCCTAGTATGTTATAATATAAAGGGCTCAGCTGCCTCGGACAGCCGTTTTTGCTTACTGAGCACTGTGGGATCATACCCAGACGCCATGAAATTAAAAAGTTTCATACTCACATATTGCTTGCTTACCGTGTTTTGTGAAAATTGTTGTTTTCGTCGTTGCCGGCTTTGAATGGCTACAACAACTCGATCATAAGTGGTTTAATGTGATATGAGGAGCTCGGTGTAATTCAGCGGTCGATTCCTAAAACGAACCTTACCGCATACCCAACCCTTTTATCCAACATCCCAGTGATTTTTCGTGGAAGTGCAGATGACTCCTGGGCTTCCAACAAAGCGAGAGTCACGTAAAAAAAATCCTACCCAATCCTTTCTTGATCTGCATTCGGAAACGGCCAGCTCTGGTATTGCCTAACTTTTGATCACCAGTTTTTCTCACATTGAGGATGATTCCAAGCATCATCTGTTGGTTCTCTATGTAATTACAGCTGATCTGGCAATAACGGAGTAGCATCCGTTCATGCTGATGCTCAACATGATTTTTGAAATGTTGTATGAAGATCCAATCGGTATAACTTATAAAACATTCGAATTTAATCGATATAGATACACAGCAACTTACCCGGGAAACTCCTAAAAGTACATATCTCATCGATGATCAACGAATGATTTTTTAGAATTTCTACGGATTTCTATAAAACTTTGCAAAAAACCTAGTGTAATGATTATTTAAACTAACTCAGCCACAATGAAAACCAACAACGGAATGAGGAAGAGAGTACGTACGTTGGTGAAGTGACTGGAGGTACACCTGCAAACGAGGAAGCGGGTAAGGTCCTGGAAGAAGAGGTGGAGGTGATGGATGTGACGTCCCCGGACGCCGAGAAGAACAGTGCTGAGGAAACAAGCGCTGCTGAGAAACAGCAGCCGCCTGTTTTCGAGTGCAAAAATTATTCGTTTTACTACAACAAATTCGGGATAGTTGACTATACCGAGAAGAAGCGGATAAATGACGAAGATGAGAACAATTGGAAGAAGCAAGGAAGTTGAGGGCACGGATAAAATCGGAAGCTAAACTCAAGTCGCCTCCAAGGAAAAGTAAGAAGACCTCATAAACAATGTCCCTCATTAAGGCTCAAGACACCGTCACTCAATTTGTATTCTTCTTCTTATTGAAATATTCTTCAATCATCATCAGTATACACATACATTCACACACAAGCCATCCGAAAAATTAAAGCAAGTATTTCATGATTTTACATCGTATATTTTCTGGGTGAAACACCATCACTTTACTTACTTGTGTTCTTCGTAGCATTCCACAATTTCACGTAATCGAATACAAAAAATTAATATAAACTGTTAGTCGAATTTCTTGGTGAACAAAATAAAAAAAAAACCAAGCAAATCACTTCGACTACACTTTTTTGCTAGCGAAAATAAATGAATCATTGAACTAGCGTTGCCAGCACTGCCTCTAGCAGTGAATATAGGTTTATTAACACATCGAAATACGAAGTTTAAACTAATAACTTAGATGAGTGGATGTTCTTAATGATTAAAAAGTCTGAATAAATAAACCTAAAAGAACCTTTTTTTGAAACTTAAATTTTCGAATTACAAAGGTAAAAAAAGATTGAATTAAACACAAACAGGGGAGATGGCAGCATTGCATGTAGCCTGTCATTGGCTTTCCCGCTCAGGGGTGTAAACAAAATGTCATACAGCGTGGTCTGGCAGTGTGAATGTTTTGTCTACGACATTCTTATATACGTGCATGTGTGACGTCAGATTTGCAGTTGTATTGAAAAGTAAAAGAATGAGATGGTAGATTTTGCTCACCATACCAGTTGATATTTATGATGCATTGAATGTTTTGGCACGGCAACGCACGTTACCAACGAATTTTACCAATACTTTTAGAAAGTGATGATTTAGGAATACAAAAAGAAGAAGAAAAAGCAAATCGAGTGATGGTTAGTTGCCTCTTAAATATACACAGTTCGAAAAAGTAGTGTAAATTTCTGTCACTATGATGCACATGAATGGAGCGTCACATACGATACAAATTCACATTACAGATCGTGTAAATTTATGAGTCATTTCATGGAATATTCTAAATATTGTATGCAACCATCCATCTTTGTAAGCAATATTTCTTTGCAAGTTGCTAGTTTACGTAAAAAGGAAGTTTACATGCTTCAATTTTAGCATGCATGGATATTTACATCACCATTAAAATTCATAACTTTTTGGTGTGTAGTTTACTCGATATCTACCAGAAAAGATGTAGATGATATGATATAAAGCTACTTTGCTGAAGAAACATGTTTTATATATCTTAAAGTTCTCATTTTAGAGCAATTTCTCTAAATTGGCTTTGGATGTGTTTTAAAATTTTAGAGCATTTTGAGAAATGATAACGTTAAGAGATAGAAAAAATATTTCTTTAGCAAAGTAGCTTGAAATCATCTTAGTTACATCTATGCTGAAGAACACGTGTATATACTTTTAAAAATAAAATCAAAATGTTAGTTTATCTAGTTATATCAATAATAAGACTAAATTTCTAAAACTTAAGACAAACGCAGTAAGACTTTTGTCTTGCTGAATTCTCATTCTGGACCATTGTGCAATTGTTTTAAAATCGGTTATTTATAAGTAAAATTATATACTTGCAAAATTATAATTACATACTTTGTTCGTGAAATATTGATTTGTTAAAAAAAAGTTACTCAACTTTGCTAACACCTTATCCAACGAGTAAATCTTGAATTTGGGACCTGAATACTTAGGTTAGAGTGTAACTTCATGATTGTACATTTTAAATTCTTACATTTTTAAATTCTTCATTAAACAGACGACTCTGTGACTGACATACCTACTGCTAAACTGTAGACTCAAAATACATTATAAAATATCGATTGCTCTATTCTAATGTAGATAAATTTCTTCAATGATAGATAGAAGACTGTCGCTCAAATTCACGCATGTAAATAACCGTCATTTCAAATCATTCACAGCAAGTTCATTCAAACGAGCAAACATAACCAGAGGGCCAATCAGTGTTCACATTACGTAGGATAGAGTGTAACTTGTCTTGCATCTCTTTCTTTAACGGTCTCTCCTTGATAGACATCTGATGTCATTCTAGTGATCAGTTCCAAAAAAATGTACACAACATTCTGCTGAGTGATCACATTTTACTTATTTGTTTAGTTTAATTGATATTACCCGCACCATATTCCCAGTGTAGTTTGTGTAAATCGCTTATTTGATCCCACATTAAGAAGTCCGTGTCTTTGAGGCCGTAGACCCTAGCCCAGTATGTCCCGTTACACTCAGTCGAACCCTGGTAGCTACGCTCAGACATATAAGCTCGTCGTAGTGGGAGGAGGAGGTGTTGGAAAATCAGCAATTACTATACAGTTTATACAGGTATTTTTAGCAAAAAGTTTCGTTTGTTTGGTTATTAGGTATATGGCCAAACGTGTGATCCCTCGAAGAAAGGAAAAGTGCAGTGAAACAAACACAGCAAAAAATCCTGGCATCGGGTGGTCGTCGCACCACAGATCATAAACCACAAGACCAATCCCTGTCTTAAGTGGAGTGCTCAAGTGAGAGAACTCGCTCGAAATATATCAGAAACCTTAACCGCTATGATCGAGTAGCTATAATGCAAATTCATTCATATTGAATACTACGAGAGAAGCGGCAACAGCATTGATCGCCCACATAATTCTCGTTCAGTTTCGTCATCCGTTTGGTGCCAATCTCGTGTGGAAAAGAAAACAATCTGCTAATACTTTGAGCTGGCACTATGTACTCACGCTTAATACTGGTGCTACACGTAATGTGTAGTAATCTAGTGGTAGTTTAATGTTTGAACCATACATTTCGGCGCTGCAAAGAACTTGAAAACAGATGCATTTTATTTATACCACTGATTCTAACAAGATACTCAAGTGGTGCGGTGGCCCACCGAGCAAAAACATCTGCTTTGTGTACGTTTCGGTCAATTTCAAATATTCAAGGATAATTGTGTACATCGCTGCTCGTAGATAGGTAGAACAAAAAAAAAGTACTCCTCTATCGCCTTAGCACATTCTTTGCCATGTATTGGTTATCTAAACAAATGGAGCTTGTTCCAGAAGAGCGTGATTGAGCATAAATGTTATCAGTCGGTGAAAACCGTTCGCTACAGCAGTTTATTATTTTTAGAATTATGAACGTATTCGTTGTATATTTAGATCAGCCATTGAACTTGATTAGTCATAAAACCACCAATCGTTTTGTATTTCTTGTGCTTCTAGGTGTACCGACACCGAGACGATGAAATATGAGTTGAACAAAAAACATATTTTTGATCTAAAGCCTGCATATGGCTAAAACAAAATACTTCTACCATTTCTACATAAGGACTGTTCACACTTTCCCCAACTTTTTTATTTGACTACTTAGCTTAATGCTTTCTTGAACAAGTTTTAAGCTCTACTTATAAGTAACATAGAAAAAATAATAAACAATATATTTCAAGCATCATTTAATGTTTACGAAATTTTAAATCACGTACTCTAAACTAATGTCAATATAACTTGAATACCAGGATAAATTTGGCAAGTTTGTCAAGCCAGATATTTTTTATTTCAGGTCTTCTAAAAGATGATACACACCAACTAAGATAAATATGAAGTTTGGATAATTTTCGGTGTCATTTTTCATTCCCCGATTACAAATTTGCGAAATTTACAATAAGATCTCAAAAATTCTGATTCTTCCTAATACCGTAAGTTTAAGCTATTCATTGACAGTTTTAAATAAATTTGAATCGAACATACACCTTTGAAACACATAAAATAAATTGCGAAATGAATAAAATGGAAAAACCTTGTTTGTTTACGCAAGAAAATAAAAAGATAGAAATATTGAATAGTATTTGTTTGGTATTTTGTAAATGCATACAACAAATCATATAATGGATAATGAATAAGTTACAGACAATTTTAGATGTTTTATAACTTGAACAGTTCAAGGTTGCAAATACTCATTTCAGCTAAAATGATGTTTTTCGGAATAATAAAACCAACAGATAGTATGATGGCATGTTTTACTTGTAACTTACAAGAAGAGGTTACAAAGTATGCGTTTGAAACATAAAACCTGTAAAGTTTGCTTTCTATGAGTCACAATCAGCGATTTTCAGATCGCTGAGTGAGTGAGTGAGTGTGTGAAAAATCGCTGATTGTGATTATCATGAAGTGAAATAAACAGGTTTAATATGTCAAACACATTCTTTGCAATCTCTTCTTGTATCCTACCAATTCAAAATATGATCATGGCATGTAATTATTTCATAATTAAAAAAAAACATTGCAAAAAAAAATGAGTATTTGCAACCTTGGAACAGTTCTTATGTTATACCAGAAATACAAATACCGCATAAAACATGTTTTTTGTTTGAAAAGGTACTCAAACAATCACTTATTAAATGTATTTCCGATATAGCCATCACAAATTCAATGTTGTCTTTTTATTGCTTATGATGTTTCTGATTATATACTCATTCAAAGTTTCATATTTCTTGAAATAAATTGTTTAAGTTTTACGCATGTTTTTTTTTTTACATTGATCAAGTATTATTAAAGTAGCCCTAAAAACAACAAAACTGATGTTCTGTCATAAGACAAGAACAAAATAGTGCAAAGGCAATAATTTCCGTTAGACATATTACACAAAACGAAATTTAATTATTTTATTCATGTGTTTTACTTATATATTTTTGCCAAAACACAACCTTATACATCCATAAGACAACCCACATAGGTCCTATAAGAATGCATAAACGGTATGTGTGACCATTTATATATTTCATTTGACACATGATCTTCATTAACTTTTTGCAAGGCATCTGCTTATTAGTTGACTTATACATTTTTATGAATAATCAGCAATAGAAATTTGCCAAACGGTATAAGGGGATTTCTATTCGTGTACTAATCTGGAATCCGTAGTACTAAATATTTAAAATTTGAAAAACATTCACTGTTGTAACGAATATTTAGAATCTTTAAAAAAAAACTATCAGTATTAACTTGTTTTATGGACCACTAAAACTTTATTTTTGAAATCACCTCAAGACGCCTTAATAACTTGATTAGGACCGAATACGCTATACTTATATACATTAGCGTAAAAGTGGTTTCAAAAAGTCCAAAATAGCTTTAAATTTGCTGAAATTGTCTTAACAACGTCAAATCAAAATTATATTGAAAACAAAACAAAAGGCCTTCAAATAGCTATGATAACAAACATGGTCCTACAACACAACGGCGCCGGTGGTGTAATGGTAAGCGTGATTACCTCTCACCCCAGCAGGCCTGGGTACAATCCCAGTCAGCGCCGCCGGGATGTTCTGAGGCATAACATCTCTGATCACGCCTTCCTTCGGATGGGAAGTAAAGCCGTTGGTCCCCGGTTCATGCGTTGATGGGTCGATAGGTAGGGTCCAGGTGTGGGAGCTGCCTTCCTGGCACGTCGGTAGCATTGGTGCTCAGCACGGAAAACAAGATCGACGAAAAAAAACAAACCAAAGGAAAAAAAAAATGGTCCTACAAAATATCAAAATGAATATTAATATTGATATATTACAAAATATTAAAATAATCAATCGCCTTAAATAGCTTAAAAACTTCAATCAATCAATCACTTTCTTACTCCCGAACTAAACTTGCTTTAAATTATTACATAAAGGTTTTTTTATTCCTTGATTTGTTTTCCGTGCTGAGCACCAATGCAACCGACGCCAGGGAGGCAGCTCCAACACCTAGACCCTACCTATCGACCCAACGATTAGACGAACGGCTTTACTTCCCTTCCGAAGGAAGGCGTGATCAGAGATTTTATGCCTCAGAAAATCCCGGCGGCGCCGATTGGTATTGAGAAAATTCGCGCTCACTCTCAACATGTCATGTATTTTTAATGAAACTCTCTTTGTGATTTCCCTCTCATAGACTACAAAATAGAGTACCTGACACTGCAAAACATATCTGGTACCTCTATATATGCATTTAGATTAACATACAATGTCCCTCCTTTTTTACAAATTCCGCACAAAATATACTTTCTGTCTCGCCCTATTCATAAAAAACGGTGGGAAATCCTGTTAGGGGCGGGGCTTACAAAGTTTTTATTTGTGAAGAATATGTAAAAAAGTAGGGACTTCGGATTTTAATCTAACTGCATATTTAGAGGAACCGTACATGTTTTGAATGCACTGCCCTCTGTAAACAATTAACGGAACTAAGTGTATGCGTAATTTCTGATACATGTCGCAATTAAGAATAGCACTGACATCTGAAGGAAAATTTACACAGAAACACTCAAAAGAACCTACCAGAGGCAGTCGTAAAACATCCTAATAAAATTGGAAAAAGTTTCCGCGAAGGATGGAAGAAAGTTGTGGGGAAAATTCCAAGTAAAGTCAGAATACTTTCAGGGGAATACAGAAAAAAAACATTCAGAATCAGTTAGAAGAATCTTCCTAAGCAAGTTTTAAAAAAATCCGGAGGATGTCTCAAGAATCTTTCAAGGAAAGCCAGAAGAAACTTCCGGAGGCAGTTAGAATAAACTTGTGAATGTCAGAATAAATTAGGGAAAAGTCGGATGACTCTTCCTACATTATTCCAGTAGTCCAAAAAAGTTAGAAAAACACCTGGGTGGAATTAAAAAAAAAACACATATTTCGAGGTAAAACATAAAAAAAAATTAATAGATATTGATATTTAGCTGCATAGAATCTCATAGTTGAACATTTTGAAACTTTCAAAATTTGAAATTATCACCGGAAGAAAAAGACTATCAACTAAATACCAAAACATCGGTATTCTAAAACCCTTCACGATTTGAAATAAATAATTTTTCCATTTTGAAACTGCTGCAAAAAAATTCTCCCGGAAATCTTTAAAAAAGAAATTATCTATCGATATTTTCCAAACAAATGGATCGAGCGAAAAGTCCATAGCAAAAATCACTCTAATCAATTCACATTCTGTACATATGAAAAAGTGTAAAAGTAGATTCACATGTTGTACCCCTTCGCTGCGCCAGTGCCATAGAGTAATAATCGGTAAAACTGAAATCAGTGTTCAGTATGTAGATAAATTTGCGTTATAGGGGAAATGGCTCTAATGTTGGCCTATGGATCTAACATTGGGCCCATCGCTAAAAATCTGCTATTGATCAATTTTATCTAGATGAACCATTCGGACGGTACTAATGGATATTTTTGGTTGCTATTGAAAATTTAGTCGATTGCTGAATTTATGTATGGGCCCAAATTAGGGACACTTAGGCCGACGTTACATACATTTCCCCTATCTTCATTTTTTATAAATTGATAACATCTAAGTATAGCAAAACGATAAACTATTCGGTTAAGTTAACACTTACCTTTATTAGGTACAAATAATATTGGTCCGTTTTCATTTTGCTACAAATTTCAATAATATTCTGCAGATATGTTTTAAATGATTACTGTTCAATAACAGATTTTAAACGTCCCCTTTTCTTTCCAGAGTTATTTTGTAACCGATTATGATCCAACCATCGAGGATTCGTACACAAAGCAATGCGTTATCGACGACGTCCCGGCAAAGTTGGATAGTGAGTTTGTACTGGAATCATAAATAATGGCAGGGACATAACAATTCTCTTCTCTACCCTGATCTAGTTCTGGACACTGCTGGACAGGAAGAATTCAGCGCCATGCGAGAGCAGTACATGCGTTCGGGCGAAGGTTTCCTGCTGGTATTTGCAGTAACCGATCACGCCAGCTTCGACGAGATGTACAAGTTCCACAAGCAAATCTTGCGCGTTAAGGATCGCGATGAATTCCCAATGCTAATGGTGGGAAACAAATCCGATTTGGATCACCAGCGGGTTGTGTCACTGGAAGAAGCTCAGCAACTTAGCAGACAACTCAAAATACCTTACATCGAATGCAGTGCAAAGCTGAGGGTCAACGTGGATCAGGCTTTCCATGAACTGGTTCGAGTTGTTAGGAAATTTCAACTGTCCGAGAGACCTCTTGTTGACGAGAAAGGAAAACGAAAGGGCGGAAAGAAGAAATGTTGCATCCTGTAATGCATCGGAGCTTGAACTTCACAAATTAACAAATTTTCGAAAGCACACCATCTGAGTTTGAGCTGTGCAGATGAACGGTTTTCAGAATGCATCTCCCAAGTGAGAGTGAATGCATTGTTTACTGCCGTACTATTTTAAATTATTTTCGACCGTTCGAAATGTGTTTAGACAATACAAACCTGTGGCACAATAACCACGAAAATATGTGAAACTTTTGTCCCAATCTTTTAAATCGTTTACAAAATTCGAATCATTATAACCCTAACGTGCCATATGTTTGCAATTAGTTGATTCTGACTATAATGATACACAGATACACTCATACGAATGTGCCTAATTGATATTTAATATCATCGGTTTTACTAAACGGTACAGCTAAATCAGCCCAGGAAAGAAATAAAAAAAACCCTCAAGTGTAGTGGATCGTCAAGCATTTTAAACCTAATTTGTCATTACAAAACAAAAAAAAAAAAAAAACAATCGAAAGGACATCATTATTTTAACTAACACCTCACGAAATTCTCACTGCGTCTCCAAGATTTCAGGACAAATGATGAAACGTATCAGAAATATATAATAACATATTTTAAATCATAAAACGAGTATATTTACTACTACTTATGTGTAATAAGACTTATACTATATAGGTAGCAGGATGTTACATTGTGCTTTATCCATGCGAAAAGAGTTTTATTGAATATCAGATATTTATATATGTTTACACAATCACGGAAAACAAAACCATTGCGAATAACTTAATTACTAGATGCAGCCAGCGTTAGCTAGACAAGGCGTTAATCTAATCGAAGATAACAGTTTGAAATTGAATGCAATGTAATATCAATATTAACCAAAATAACTAGCTTTAAATGTGCTTGAATGTTATTCGAAACAGATGTCGCAATTATTTGACAACAGAAAAAGCAAGAAAATAAACCACAGTTTAGGAAAAGGTGCTAAATTAAACCGATTAATTCATATTTCCAGTCACGAATGATTGTGTTGAAACCCGTTTTAGTCTGTCATTTATGTTGTGCGGAAAAAATATTTATAGAAATACATGTTCAAGTATATTGACCAACTAAAAGGGTGCATTCTGTTTCACTTTAATATCGCAACTCATAAGCGACTTTGTGTCGTGTCCAGAACGTTTTCTTGTTCGTCACGATCTTCATTCTCTATCGCCATTCCACAAACTGAAGTTCCCTGGCATTGTTATCATTTTAAAATTGATTTAATTATAGTTTGTTTCTATACTCATAGCTTGTATTCCACTGCACCTCTACTCTCTGATAAATCATGAAATTTATATGTTCATGACATTGAAAGCCATTATCGTGCCGGGAACTGCGTAATGCACTTTTCGCTCAAGGTACTCATCAATTTACGCAGGAATCAATCTATCTCTCACGAAGACCCAAAATGGATCGGCGAGAAATCGTAACAGATCAGCCACTGAAGCCACCCATTATTTCATGAAGTAAGCAGGTAGTCCAGCACGAAGAATTGCAATGGAGCTGCTACTTAATGCATCTACCATCCAATGCATCCATTAACTTACGCATGATTTGGCACTGAAGACATCCATCAACTCACGCAGGAGTCGAACTGTCCCTAATGGGGGATCGTAATGAACCTACCACTCAAAGCATCCATCAACTCACTCGTAACTCAAGCTATCTTTTTTGAAGGAATGTAATGGATCTGCCGCTCAAAGAACCCATCGGCTCACGCAGCGCAGGAGTTTATCTGTTCCTCAAGAGGTATCACGTTGGACCTGTTAATCAAGACATTCATCGATATACGCTGGAATCAAACTACTTCTCTCGAGAACTCGGATTTATAGGTTACGTTGGCGCATTAGTCTAGTCCTAGCCAGACTTATTCAACGGAGGCCAAACGGACGTTGCAATGCCTGAAATCGATGTCAAATCTGAAGTTGGAGCTCAAAGACAAAGACAGCTCAAAGCATACGTTGATGCTGACTGACATGAAGATCACCAGAACCACAAGTCGAACTCGGGCTTCATCATTCACTTTGGTGGGCCGATTTTCTGGGCTGCTCGAAAGCAACAGTGCGTTACCCTTTCGTCGACGGAGGCGAAATACGTGCTATTTTCCAAGGCATGCTAGAAGTTGCCTTGGTTGCAGAAACTGTTGAATGACGGTGATGAGAAGCCTGTCGGGCCGATCATAGATTTACATATATGTATATATAGTTATAGCGATGCTGCGAGCCGACGGAGGGAGTCGTTGAACCAAGCACATTGACACACGGTTCAATTTCATTCGAGTTCAACCGTTTGTCGAGGGTGAAGCTGGAGACCTGTCGGAAGAAGATGGGACTTCAATCGTTGCAACTTGCGAAGGAGTGAAGGAGACAAGCAACAAAGTCAATAACAGTACACTGTTTATAAATGTATTGTCAACACATTAGTAATTATCATACTGTGAGATCGCCGGATTTTCAATGGAACTGTTTCTCTAATAAAGTCATGTACTCTAATTGAAAACAAAAATAAAGCAACCCTCAAATATTATTGCAGATTTGGAAAGTGTGATACATTTCCTTTAAGAATTGACCAATAGCTTATGATTTGAGTAGCTCAAAATGATTTGGTAAGCGACTGTTACCTGACGTTACAACGTTTTGCACTTCTCAACTTCGTGACTCACCAAAACATTTTGAGCTACTCAAATCAGAAACTCTTGATCAATTCTCATATAAAATTTAATGCACTATCCAAATCTACCATAATATAAATTAGGGGTTACTTTATAAAAAAATCCTTTGTAACGTCACGTAGAATATGGCATGTAACTCTGTGTTTTTCTTCATAGAAAGTGGGAATTCATCTTGAAAATCAAACTTGTGAAGGTTTTAAAATATTTCATCTATGGTTTTTTGAGAAAAAGTGTAACCCTCCAGTTCGATTCATAATCCCATAATATAAGCCTGGTGGTTTGTATGTCATTCATCCTGTGTGATCAGATTTTGTCAGGCGGTGTGTTTATTTGTGTGGTTACCACTCCGTTATTGCCAGACCATCTATAATTACAGAGAGAACTTATAGATGTCGCTTGCGATTAGCATTCTCATTCTCAATGAGTAAACACTCATACTTTACAAAAGGAAACACCAGCCCCGGCCGCGTCCGAAGGCAGCTCAATTAGGGAATGGGTAGGAAAATGTTGATTTGTTGGAAGCCGAGAAAACCTCTGCCCTTGCATGAGAAATCATTGGGATATTGGATAAAAGGGTTGGGTTTGAAGCATGGTTCGTGTTGGTAAAATGTATTCTGAATTGAATTGATGTGCTCATGTTAAGAAAGAAAGCGATTTTCTAAACATGAATATGAAGAGGCATGAGATTGAATTTACGATCTTCTGCTCAGTAAGCAAAAACGGTCGCTCAAATACCACCGAGACTCTAATATTACGATACATTACTTATAACTGCTGTATCCATTCAAACCCAGCGACGCCCCACGGTAGATGCGAGGTAAATGTCCCAATACACGACGAGCAATCAATGTGACTTTAAAACACTTTGATATGAAAGGGACTGGGATTGAACCCTAGACCAACAATTGAAAAGGGTGTATCAGCTATTGTATACAAAACGTGTGTAAACCAAAGCTCGCCTACGCAATCCAACAACACTATTGGGAAGAGGAGAATTTCCCTGAGCTTCGTATGAAAAGGACATTATAAGTTTTGTTTACAAAAGCTGATAGACCCATTTAAATTGTTGGTCGAAAACAACGATCTGCTCAGCAAGAAAAAACAGCCGCTCTAACGCCACCGTGTTGTGTTATATGGAAACTACTATATGCGATTTACTCACTTTTGGGTTATTGGGCTGAACCCGGGAATTGAGGGAAAAGTACTTAATTTTGGGTAGTTTTTCATCTCCGTGTAGGACACTCAGCGCATGAGTAACCAGTAAAAGTGACTCAATCTTTGAGTTAGATTCGTTTTCAATGCATGTACTGCCGTTATACGCATAAGAGTCCCATGTTGCATAAGGATGGCATAGAACATGGGACAGTTATGCGTAGAACGGCAGTGTAGTCCCTGATAAATTTGAAAATGAAAAATAAAACTTAATTGGAACTTTATGGCAACGCCTGTAGTAAAAGCTTTTGATCCGACAACCCCTCCATTTGTTCGCTCAATTCTCCGCCAACCGCATTTGGACGATTTGGAAATGCCATGCTGCTGAAACTTATGCCTGTGATTCTCCCTCTCTTTTACTGTTACGGCGTCGCTCTCTATGTGCTCCAAGCTCCAATGCAGACAAAACCGTTTTTGTTTGAGTATCTTCTAGTGTACCTTTCCACCATTTACGAGTTTGTTTTGATACCTCGAGACTCTCCAGTTGCAGTTCCAGAGCACAACTGCCGCTCACTTGTCGACGACGGACATTCGCACAGTCGTAGTAAAGTTCCTGCTCAAAGACGAGCAGTGAATCACGTCTAGCTGTGCCTGCTTGCTATAGTTTCTCTTTCACTTTCATTATTCAGTTCGTATGTCAGCTGTGTAATGGTTACAAGAAGAACAAATTGATCGGTCTAAACCCGGAGATATTATGACATTTCCATAAGCAGCATGTGAATTTGACAAAGGCTACATTGTGCAACATGTGGAATTGATTACGGAATCGAACACTAGCAAGCGACGATATCGTGAATCGTATTGATCTACTTTCACAACAAAAGCAGCAACTCCTCAGTGGGCTATCGAGTATCGACAATACATTCACATATCTGTAGGTGCGCGGTACCCGAAGAGCTGTGGAGCGCAAAAAACCGGCCACAGAATGGGTATAATCGTGAAATTATTGCGTAATATGAAAATTCCGCGCTGGTCCACTCTCCTGCCAGTGCTCTTCTACCTAGTTTTTATAACCTGTATTTTGATGCTGGCTTTCCCTACGAATTCAACTACTGGAGCGGAGAGGAAGAGAAGCAATATTGATGCGGCAGAGAATGTGGATGGCGCAAATTCTGTGATATACAACGTGGACGAAAGTGCAATGCAACAACTAACTGACGCTTTTAACAAGTATGTATCATTTTCAACCGTTGGTTGTTTAGAGCAAGACGCATAATTGTTGTGTACTTTTTCAGGGCAGATACCAATAAGGATAAACACCTAACTGTGCAAGAACTTGCCAAATACATTAATTTTAAAATAAGGGACCATATAGACAATGCAATACGTACCAATCCCTCCACTTTCGTGGAGATAGACCACAAGCCCCGTGACGGATTAGTCAGTTGGGATGAATATCAATCGTATTCACTTGGACAGAAAGGAATTGCAGAGACTTACATGAACAAAAATCTGTTTGACACTCTAGATCGAAAAGTGAAAGAATCAATTGCTAGAGACAAAGCTCTCTGGATGGAAGCAGCTCGAACCGATCCTGTGAGTCTGACACTGGATGAATTCCTGTCTTTTCGTCATCCTGAATCTAGCACTGTCAACCTACTGAATTTGGTAGATGACATCCTTCGACAATTCGACATCGATGGAGATGACAAACTAACGATTGCAGAATTTTCCGACGTCCTGCCGAATGAAGTGGCTGATCCTAGCAGCAAGAAAATTATTCTTTCACAAACCGAACGAGAACGAAAGGAGGAATTTACGAAAATTATCGACAAAAACAAAGACGGCAAAGCAGATCGAGGTGAACTATTGTCCTACGTAGATCCACGCCATCCAAGATATGCTATCCAGGAAGCTTCAACGCTGCTTACGCTAGCTGACCAAAACAGCGACAGGAAGCTCACTCTTCACGAGGTAAGGAAGCCGATACCTACATGGGGTAGCTTGTTTGGTTACCTTTATTAAAGCGACTCCCTAATAAAAAAAAATACCGTACCCGAACGATAACTCAAATGGTTGAACTATTCCACGAATGGTTTAGATGATACCCTGAACACGTCGTTGAGCAAAATAACCGTACACATTTTATTAGGGCTTTCAGCCAAATACTGTTCGCCTCGGGAATATTTCTTATGAGCCTTCCTAAGATCAAACCGTACTGGAGGCGGCGGGTTCGGTTCCCGGTCCAGTCTGGGATTTTTTGGGATTGTTGAGTGTTTTGAGATTCCTTGGTGCTTGTAACATAATACCATAAGGCACCGAATACCGGACAGTCTCCTAGATGCGGACACGTAACGTAACGTAATAAATACGTGTGGTGATTCTGAACGATAGTAATCAGAGTATAATACAATTTTGAGCACGGTAGGTAGGCATTAGGGTGGTTCAAAATGTCGATTTTGCTCCACCAGGCTCTATCGATTCCAAATCATGTGGACTTAGTGTCTAGATTTAGATTTCGGCTTAGGAAGCTCGCAATTAACAACTATGGAAATGCTCAAAGAACACTAAGTAGGTTTAAAGTTTCAGTTGTAAACGTGTAAACCCTCGTACATAACTTAACTCCATTATAGTTAAATAGAGACTGGCATTTTTATAATGTCGTAAACGTTTACGATGCGCTATGTGAATACCCCCATCCATTTTGCAGCACTACACTTTTATAGTTATTTTATTCAACTTGTATTTTCATTCTAGATCTTTGCTAAATCATCAATATTCATTTCTTCGAAGATGGTCAACACTGCTGAGAGTTTTCATGACGAGTTTTAGGTTAAGTGATCTGTAGAAACCAATTGTGATAAATAGTATGTTATAATAATCCTGTACATGGCAGTAATATAATTAATAAACAAAAATCGCAAGAAAATTAAACTACTTGCATCAATCTTCCTTTTTGATTGTTATCTTAGACGACGCCGGAATTTCGCTCGATTGGATTTGAGCTCAATCCCAGCCGGAGTCATCAGGGTTTTCCAAGGCGCAAAACTTCGTCTCACATCTTCCTACGAAAGAAAAATAACGCCATTCGTGTCGATGTGTTCCATCTGATGAATCTAGTTGTGATTGCCTGCTTGGAGTATGTGATTGGCACAAATGTTTCAATGATATAAATTATACAGATGGATAATAAATAAGTATTAACATTAGTCTTAGAACAATCAACCGAGGAATGTAAAATTTTCTTACGAGTATTTTTTTAATTTTAAATTGTTCTCTAACAATTTTGCCAGTGTTTTCTCTGATGAGAAATTAACCGTCGTACACGTTTCCCTAGCAGCAAGCAATGTACAATTCTCTGGTTAAGCTCTGTCTGCAATTCACATCAACGTCGAGATGATTTCCATTGCCGCATTAAAACTCAAGTCGTCCAACCCAGGACCGGATGGTGTTTCCACAGTTTTTTTTTTCTGAAGATACATCGCCAGTTTACTGGGAGTAGGCTATGCGTTTGAAAATGAAAGTGAAATTCTTATGAATGCTGCATCTCATCTCCGAAGGCAATGGTTCTACGTCCCTGCAGCTTGCCGACAAGCGGTTTCTAAAGCGAGGAGGAATCTTCATCGGACTCGTGATATCCCATCGTTCGTCGTATTCGTGGAGATGCAGTTGCAGTGCTGAACCTAATACTTGGTAACTTACACTGTGACCATTTGATTACATGCGGCCAGACGACTAGACCCCATAAGGCGGACCGCATATTATCGGAACTGCTACACTAAACGTGACAGGGCTACTTGCTACGGGTTCACTTTGACTGATTTGGTGAGATTGTTCTTTTTTATACTTTTATCTACATATTTAAACTTCATTTCCATGAATCCGTATGTAACATCTTCGATTCGGGTGAGACTCTTGATTTTTAGAGTTAGTTAGAAATACTATGCTAAAATCAACCGTAAAGACTACGGCTTATTTCATGTAATATATAGGCTATTGGTATTGGTATTAAGGTAATTTTTGTTCCTCTGTTCGGGACCTAACACCACTACGACCAGTAATTTGATCTATTGTAGTATCACCACCGACGAACCGACATGCCACAGGAGCATTTCGTTTGTCCACAATTCGAATTGTCAAACGAGCGGTTCGAACTTTCAAACGGGCGATCAGATGTGTGAAATGAGATGAGACGCAAAGCAAGGCAATATAAATTATACGTGGATTCGTGTCCTTGCTCATGGAATGACGCGATCGGATGAGGAGATGTCGGTAGTGTTTAACGAATTTTAAATATGGCGTCTTGGGCACGAATTTGAAAGTAGCTTGTATGAGCTGTCACGTTGGTTCGTCGGTGGTATCACTAATACCCGTTGGTATTCACTTATTTTTTATGTTTTGTGGTAACGTAAGAACTACACGACACTCACAAAATGTTAAAATAAATTAAAATTTAACTTTCTGTCGACCGGTTTCGGGCGTGATGTTGCCCATCTACGGGACAATGTCCGACTGATTACTCCGGATGTTCATACGTTGTTCCGTACACGCCCAATAAGAAGAGAAGAGAAGCTACTGGATTCTCAGATTTGTCAGCTTGAAAACCAATACTGCTGAACCATTGATGAATGAAGATGACCCCCTATTATATCCTGCCTTTTCAAGCTGACAAATCTGAGAATCCAGTAGCTTCTCTAAAAGATTAAGTGTATTTTTCAACCGATTCGAATATGAATATGACATTAAATCTGGTTTTGAAAGTTGGTGCACAGGTAAAAAGTGAGGTTACGGGACGCCACTGTCACAAACAATGACTTTTATATACACGGTAAGAAAAAAGTACCCAACGGCCAGTTCACTTTTACTTACTTTTGACTAGTTTGTCTCCTTTTCTCCTTCTAATGTTGTCAAAACCGGAGGAGCAAAACCACCCAACAGGGGTACTAAAGTGTGGGAACTCAACGTTGAGTAGAATCATATTTGCCTACTGTTGGGTACAACTAACTTACTTTTGGTTAAAAAGCCAGTGGAAAATTCCATACGAACTGCACACAAGTAAATGAAAATTACTTTGACCCGCTTTACCTACTTTTGGGTTCCTGCACTATAGTGCCGAGATGAGTGAAAAGAACTTAATTTTGGGTTCTTTTTTCTAACCGTGTACATACCAGAGAGGGGAGGGGTCTCGAACCACCATAGAAACATTTCTTACCTTCATAAAGCTCAACATGCCAAATTTGGTTCCATTTGCTTGATTAGTTTTAGAGTTATGCAGAAATTTCTGTTTCATTTGTATGGGAACCCCCCCCCCCCCCCTTACAGAGGTGGGAGGGTGTTTTTAAACCATCATAAGAACCTTTCCCGGCCCCGAAAACCCCTGCAAATTTCCATGCCGATCGGTTCAGTAGTTTCCGAGTCTACAAGGGTCAGACAGACAGACACCAAATTTTAAAATCCTATTCCTGCAAAATGAATTGCTGAATCGCGTCCAGCAAAACTAACTTTAACTGAAAAATCAGTAATATGAAATATTTTGGTGAAGGTACCAGCACAGACAAACAGACATAACATATTGAATATTTCTCACTGTAAAACATCGTCGCTAAAACACTAACGCCATCTCTTGAGTACACTGTGGTGGGTAGTACGCTGAACAGATGGCGGTAGTGTGTAAACGCCAAACGCAAGGGAATTTACTATGCGCGCCACAGGTGATAGTACTACCAACTACGATGCTTTTAAATTGGCCGTTAAACACTTGTTCGGTGAACAACTTGCGAGAGTTATGTCTGTTTGTCTGTGGTACCATTTTTTTTTTAATTCTTTATTTAAGAGATTTTTAATCTGTGGTACCAGTAAACTATATTAAATGTCAAAATCTGTCCAAAATCCATCATTCTCGGCTTCACGGTTTATGATTATTTTTATGTTCAAGAAGTGTTCGACTAACAAAATATCATGGACATTATTATTATTATTATTATTATTGATTTTTCAGTTAAAGTAAGTTTTGCTGGACGCGATTCAGCAATTCATTTTGCTGGAACATGATTTTAAATTTGGTGTACACTCGGTTGAACACATTATTGGGCACATTAGATTTACCGTGTAGATTCGGTACATGTTTTTGTTTACATCGCATCGAAAGATTATCAAATCAAGTTTATGAAAAATGGAACAACGTAGAGTGAAGTTAAGTAGTATAACAACTTTCATAGAAAACACCACCGAAACTATCGACAAATTTCTCGAAGATTTTGGATGGGATAGAGATAAATTATTGGTAAGAACATTTATAAATCGATATTCCCAACCACGCTATACCGCTACCATGATACCGCTTTCAGAAAGAATACAACAATGGAACTCAACAGATTGGACTAAAGAAGGACAGCAATGAGGATTCATTTCCAGAATCATTCTACGATGAACAGCATCAATGTTCCGTTAAAATGGGTACTTATGATCTGGATTAGGATTTTGCTTATAATTTCACATAAAATATATCCTGCAGATGAGCATACACAAGCGACAATCATTCGGGGCGTCAATAATGAAAATCCCGATATGGAAATAGGTAACATGGATCAGAATTTAAGGGCAAATTTGAATTATTTTCCTTGTTTACATTTTAGTACGTCAGACAGAAGACATATTGGCAACGAGAGAGATTCCATCAAGTCACAAGGATTTGTTGGTAAATTTTACGAGAGAAGAAAGATTAGCCTTGTATCGGTATGCAGTTGAATCAACGCCGAAGCAGGAACCACTTCCAGAGTTTCAAATAAGGTAATTTCTCACTCACAAAATTACATCGAATCGTTTCCAAACTTATAAACGGTTTTACAGCTTCAAGAAACGGGACAACCTTGCCAAGCTGACCCCGCTGGCTGAGATTGCGGCCTACCGCCGTGATATACGACGTCGGAATCAGAAATACCGGGTAGCCAAAAATCCACTGACGTATCAGGAAGAGATGCACAATTTGATTCAACTACAGACGGAAGCATTGGCTGAGTATCTCGGACAGTCTCCTGTGGTGGTGAAAAGTGTAGATAAGACTAGTCAAACAAAAGCAGAAGGAACGCCTAGGACAGGGACGTCGAGAACGAGAAGCAGATCACGCGATAAGATCAGGAAGAGAAGGGATGGTGATGATTCTGGGAGATCTAAAGATGCTAAGCATAAGAAGCGCAAAAGATCTAGGTCCAGAAGCAGATCAGGCCATAAGCATAAATCTAAAAAGTCAAAAAGAGACGATTCCAGGGAGAGGAGCAGTGCTCGAAGCAAGCATAAGTCGAGACATTGAGGTTTTTGGAATAGTTTTATAGAAACAAGTTTCATGCATACAATAAAGTACATAATATTATACAGAAGGCTTCAATTGTGCAGCATACCAAATTTGCGTTTTTACTGAGACAAGCATTAGCGTGGAAACATATCTGCTTCTGTGCAGTCTTTACCCCGGGATGAAAATTCGTAAATTTCATGAGAAACCGTATTGATTCCAGTAAAGATATTTTGAACAAATTATATGCTTTCAATTCTGTGAAGAAGGAAATCAAATTAGTCAACCACTTACCTTAATAACTGCGCCCCATTTGGATCTTAAGAGGAACTGCACTGATGATGGTTCCTGATCACATCCATATGGCATTGGATCTTCTTAACAAATAATTTTCTACAAAAGGTTGGTGATACGCACTACTCGAAAGAAATTTACACCCTTTCACCGATTAACAAAAATCTAACTATATTCATTGTTCAACAATATTCATTCTCTATATTCAGCAAAGCAAAGTGACGCATTTGTTCCTCCGAATCCGAACGAATTTTTCAATGCAACGCGTCTTTTGTCTTCTGCTGGTTTCCATTCCTGAGCCTTGTTAGCAACAAAGTTCATTCCTTGCATCTCTTCAGAAACATTCTCTAAATTGATCGTTGGAGGCAGTTTCCCTTCTCGGCACGCCAGTACTGTAAATAGTGATTCTAGATTTCCTGCAGCACCAAGCAGATGCCCGTGTGCCCCCTTCGTAGAGGAAACAGCTAATTGCTTCCAATTATCACTGAACAAAGTCCGAATCGATCGAACTTCAATTGCATCGCCGATTGGTGTTGAAGTTGCATGTGCGTTGATGTATCCGATATCCGCCGGTACCATATTGGCGTCCTTCAATGCTCTGCCCATTGCTAACATTGCACCGATTCCATCCTCCCGAGGCGCTGTCAAATGGGATGCATCGCCAGAAAGGCCATATCCCAGGATTTCACCTACAATGTCAGCATTTCTAGCTTTGGCATGGGTCAATTCTTCCAGAACAAATATTGCCGATCCTTCTCCCATGACAAAGCCATCTCGAGCATCATCAAATGGCCTCGATGACTTTTGAGGATTATCATTGAACGATGTACTCAACGCTCGTAGTCTACAAAATCCAGCGATCGCTAGTGGACTTATACATGCCTCTGCAGCACCGCAGACCATAACGTCCGCGTCACCACGTTGAATAAACTTAAATGCATCTCCGATGGAATGTGCTCCCGTTGCACAGGCCGTTGAAACAGAGTGATTTGGACCTCGAAATCCATATTTGATACTCAACTGGCCAGCAGGCATATTTGGTAAAATTCTTGGGACAAAGAAAGGACTTACCCTGTTGTAGCCCTTCTTCAGTGCTTCGTTCGTTTCACAAACGTCCCCAAGATCCACCATACCCATCCCGATGGCAACACCCGTTTGTTGACATGCATTGACATCCTCGGCTAGCGGGGTCCACCTAGCACCCTCGAGTGCTTCTTTGGCAGCTATCATTGCAAATGCAGTAGCCCGAGCCATCGTTTTCAGCTCGCTTTTGGTGAAGTGCTTCTCTACATCCAGTTCATCGCGATTGATCTGAGCCGCCACCCGACAAGGAAGCTTCTCATATGGAGCATCCGTTAGGTTGCCCACGGCGGATATTCCCGAAAGAACGTTGGCCCATGCTTTTGCTGCACTACAACCGACCGGTGAAACTACTCCTAGCCCGGTGATGACGACGCGCCGTTTTTCGAAGAAACTCGGATTTGTGCTGGACGTAGACAACTTTCGACGGAAAATGGCGAAGGAGCGATACGTTTGGACACAACGGGGACAAGAAAAACCCATTATGATTACTCTGGATTTGCCAAAATAAACACTTCCCGGCATTCGCGTAATCAACATAAACAACAAAATTTAATCACAGAAGATCGAGTAGATTAAAAATCGCGATTTCGAACTGCTCAGCATTAACTGCTCGAAATATATGGGTGGGAGGCCACTCATGAGTGTCCGCATGGATCAAACGTCAAAATTTAATGACAACAAACAAAACGTGCCGTGCAACGCGGAATCAACAGTAACTGTTCGCTCTTCATTTCAAAAACTTGTTGTAAAAAATCAGTTTTCAACAGTTCTAAAACCAAAATGAGTAAAAAGCGGAAGCATGCCGACGAAGAGCAAGGAAGGGAGGCCTACGATCTACCGGCCAAACATATGAACTCCTCTCACATTAGATCAAACGAACGCAGACTTGTCGTCATTCTGGAAGGAGCTCAGTTGGAAACGGTGAAGGTAAGCATAATTTTACAATAGTTTCTGTGAAATCTATAGGAAATTTTATTAAATTGCATTAACGTTTCAGGTCGGTCAGGTGTTTGAACTGCTCAACTGTGACGATCACCTATCCATTTTGAAGAGAAACAACCGGGATCCGGGTAGTTGCCGCCCGGATATCACCCACCAGTCCCTGCTGATGCTTATGGATTCCCCACTGAATCGTGCCGGGTTGCTGCAGGTTTATGTAAAAACGGAGAAAAATGTACTGATAGAGATCAATCCACAGACGAGAATTCCGCGAACATTCAGGCGATTTGCCGGATTAATGGGTAGGCATAAATTTGAAATCTAAAGACCATATTTTTCAACAGCGTTATTCAATTGCGATTTCAGTTCAACTGCTGCACAAATTCAGTATAAAGGCCAACGATTCGTCTAAGAAGCTAATGCGCGTAATCAAAAACCCAATCAGTAATCATCTTCCGGTGGGGTGTCGCAAGTATGCCATGTCGTTCAGCGCTTCGGAAGTGAAGCATCCTCGTGAGCTGGTGCCGAAGGTGGACGAACCGGTGGCTCTGGTAGTGGGTTCTTTTGCACACGGTCAACTGAACGTGGATTATACCGAAGGAAATTTTTCCATTAGCAATTATCCACTGTCGGCAGCGCTTGCCTGCACGAAGCTTTGCTCAGCCTTTGAAGAGGCCTGGGGTATAATATAAGCGACTTTTGTTTGTAGTGAACAAGTAGATCCGTTCAATTATTTTTTCCGAACAAATCCTAGCTTTTTTTCATATAAGAGCTGTCGAACCAATGAGATCCATACAGGTGTAGCAGAAGAGAGTATTTGTTGGTATTATGTAGTAGCAAAAAAAGAGATAAATAATCGGTGATGACGAAAAACTCCTAAAAAGATGTCATGAAAAATTGGAGTGGGATGTATATTGCACATATTTTGCACAACACGGACACAATGTTATAAGCCATCAAATTATAACCTAGATGACATTTTCTTGTAGACAGTTCTAGAAAGAGCAGGAAACAATTACTTCTCTCGTTGATTTCTAGATACTCCAGGCACGCCTACACAAACCAACATATCCATCGGGTAGGGGAAGTCTTCGCCCACTCCATGGTGATGTCGATTTGCCAGGACGAGTCATGACTTTCGAGAAATCAACGAGAGAAGTTATTGTTTACAAAAGCTGTTACGCCTTAATTCCAGCTCTATCTTGCAGTTATTATAACTGTTAGAACTCTGTAGTCTTAACAAGGCAAAACGCAACGCCCGGTTTCTGCAGCATCATACCCAATGACGTTTATATAAGGTCTATTGTAAACATTTCTGAACACTCAAGTGACGACGTCACTCTACCCAACATGCCATACTACAAAAAGATAGTATTTTTTTTTTTTATAATTACTTTATTTGTACAGGCTCAATCGAATAAACTTTACAGAGCCGAGTTATTCTTTGCGTTATACATTATTACTGTCTTAAATTTAAAGTTAAAGGAACTGGACCGAGTACTCGCGGTTGTCTCGAGGTTAGTGGAGATTTACAATTTTATGGATGGGAAAAGGGAAGAAGGAGGTTTGAAATGTGGTTTACGATACAACTATTTAATTAATCCTAAAGCATGAAATTATTTATATTCATCTTGAAAACAAACATTGAAAAAAAACCCACACGTACAAAATACAAACTAAACACAAGGTTAATCAAACTTACAATCTAAGGTTAATATCCTTAAAGTAAACATATATGAGTTTCATAAACTCCAGATCGCGTCTAGCCAAAATATCCCGAACTGGAACATTAGGTTGTCTACCTCGAGCCCGAAGGGAATCATAAAAATGTGATCTGACTCCACGATACTCCGCACAAGACCAAAGGATGTGATCAGCGTCCTGGTAACCTTGTCCACATTCACAGAGATTGCTGTCTCCCAACCCCACACGGAACAAGTGAGCGTTTAGACAATAGTGATTGGACATGAGACGAGACATCACGCGTATGAAGTCTCGACTCAAGTCCAACCCTTTGAACCATGCAAACTTCGACACCTTAGGGATAATTGAATGTAGCCATCGTCCCAAGCTCCCTTCACTCCATTGATGTTGCCAGCTAACGAGCGACTGCTGACGATAAATAGAGAAAAATTCACTATAGGCGATCTGTCGATCATAAATGTCGCCTTCCATAGCGCCCACCTTCGCAAGTGAATCCGCCTTCTCATTGCCCAAAATTGAGCAATGCGAAGGGACCCACGCGAAGGTGATGATGAAAGAGCGCACGGATAAAGTACTAAGCAGTTCTCGTATTTTCAAGAGAAAATACGAGAAGTGCTTTACCGGCCTAATGGAACGGATAGCCTCGACAGAACTGAGACTATCCGTAAAAATAAAGTAGTGGTCTGGAAGAAGTGAAGCAATAGTTTCCAAAGTGTAGTGAATTGCTGCCAGTTCAGCCACATACACAGAACAAGGAGCTTCAAGTTTTCGAGAGGCGCTATGAAATTCATTAAATACACCAAAACCAGCGGACTCCTCTATTAGAGATCCATCTGTGAAAAACGTTCTTGCAGAATCAACATGGCCAAACTTTGCAGCGTATAATGACGGAGCAATCATAGGACGATGATGCTCTGGAATTCCGCGGATTTCCTGCGTCATAGATAAATCAAAATTCACTGAATTGCCGAAATCGGAGAAGATTACACGATTGGGAATATTTCTTGAAGGGCTGACATCCTGTGTTAAATATAGGTAGTACAAAGTCATAAAACATGTTTGAGGATTTAGCTCCAGAAGCTTCTCAAAATTTTCGATCACCAGTGGGTTCATTACTTCGCAACGGGTGAGGAGCCTCAGAGATAACTCTGAAAAACGGACGGATAGTGGAAACATGCCCGCCAGCACTTCGAGACTCATAGTATGAGTCGAGTGCATGCATCCTAACGCGATACGAAGACAACGATACTGGATCCGTTCCAGCTTGATGATGTGCGTTTTAGCTGCCGACTGGAAGCAAAAACTACCGTACTCTAAAACCGATAAAATCGTTGTCCGGTACAACGTCAGAAGATCTTGTGGATGGGCTCCCCACCACGTTCCGGTAATTGATCGAAGGAAATTGATCCTTTGTTGGCATTTTCGTCTCAGATACTCAATGTGGGATCTCCAGGTGCATTTGGAATCGAACCAGACCCCAAGATATTTAAAGGACATGGAATGAGTGATCGGTTTACCCAAAAGTTGAAGCTTCGGTTGTGCTGGGCTATGCTTCCTAGAAAAAACGACCAACTCAGTTTTCTCCGTGGAGAATTCGATACCTAGCTGAATAGCCCAAGTAGACAAATTGTCCAAGGTATCCTGTAAGGGTCCTTGCAGGTCAACCTCTTTTGGCCCTGTGATAGACACTACGCCGTCATCTGCAAGTTGTCTCAACGTGCAATTGTCACTAAGACAATTGTCAATTTCTCTAACGTAGAAATTGTACAACAGGGGGCTTAAACATGAGCCTTGGGGGAGACCCATGTAGCTAAATCGAAAAGCTGTAGAGTTTCCATGAGAAAAGCTCATATGTTTTTCTGACAGCAAATTGTACAAAAAATTATTCATAAATGGAGACAATCCACAAACATGGAGTTTCTCTGAAAGAACTTCAACGGATACTGAATCAAAAGCCCCCTTGATATCCAAGAACACAGAAGCCATTTGCTCTTTCTTAGCAAAAGCCAACTGAATTTCCGAGGAAAGCAACGCGAGACAGTCGTTCGTTCCCTTACCCCTACGGAAACCAAATTGAGTATCTGAAAGAAGGTGGTTCGTCTCAACCCATTTGTCGAGGCGAAAAAGGATCATTTTCTCCATCAATTTCCGAATACACGACAGCATCGCGATGGGCCGATAAGAATTGTGATCCGACGCGGGTTTATCAGGCTTTTTAATGGCTATCACCCTCACTCGTCTCCAATCGTCGGGAACAATATTGAGCTCCAAGAACTGATTGTACAAGTTCAACATGCGCCTCTTAGCGACGTCTGGGAGGTTTTTCAGCAAGTTGAACTTGATTCTATCAGATCCCGGGGCAGAATTGCCACACGAAAGGAGAGCGAGTGAAAGTTCCACCATTGAAAAAGGCTGACTGATTTCGTCTACCGAATTCGCGGTTTCGCGAGGAATCAACTGCGACGGCACGGAATCCGGACACACTTTTCGCGCGAATTTAAGAATCCATTGATCCGAGCATTCCTCGCTTTCGTTGTAAGTAGACCGGTTACGCATTCTTCGCGCCGTACTCCAAAGCGTATTCATCGACGTTTCGCGCGACAATCCGTCTACAAACTGCCGCCAGTAACCCCGTTTTTTGGCCTTGATGAGGCTCTTGAGTTCGCGTTCAAGAGATGTGTATGCGTCGAAATGCTCGCGTGTTCCGCGTTTCCGAAAAAGTTTAAACGCGTCGGACTTTTTACGGTAAACCTCGGTGCATTGTTGATCCCACCAGAGCGATGGTGTTTTCTTACGGATTGACGATCGCGGCACCGGTCGTGTTTGAGCTTGAAGGGCGCTGTCGACGATGAGATTAGAGAGGAAATTATATTCCTCCAACGGCGGAAGCTCTTCCACTGACGATACTGTATCGTCTATCGCGGATTGGAACTTAGTCCAACCGATGTTACGGGTTAGATCATACGCGACGTTAACGGATTCTGACGAGTTGAACCCACTGGCAATCGAAATTTTGATCGGCAGATGATCACTACCGTGCGGATCCTGGATTACATGCCAAGTGCAATCCAACGATAGTGAATTGGAGCAAAAGGTGAGGTCTAATCTGCTACCATTCGAGGATGGACCAGCCAAACGTGTTACTTCTCCATTGTTAAGTATTGTCATGTTGAAGTTGTCGCAGAGATCATAAATCAAAGTAGAACGGTTATCATCGTACAGCTCCCCCCAGCCTGTACCGTGGGAGTTAAAATCTCCCATGATCAACCATGGAGCGGGAAGTACCGCACATATGTCGAAAAGTTGTTTGCGATTAACAGAGACTCTAGGAGCAATATATACAGAAGCAATACAAAGGCTCTTACCTTTAATGGTAGCCTGACATGCGACAACTTCAATACCGGGGAATTCGGGAAGATTCACTCTATAGAAGGAATGGCACTTTTTGATCCCCAAAAGTACCCCTCCTCCACGTGAATCCTCACGATCCAATCGAATAATGTTAAAATCAAAAAAAGGGAGATCAATTTCTGAAGAAAGCCATGTTTCACAGAGGGCAAATGCATCGCAATTATTGTTATGGACTAAATACTTGAACGAATCTAATTTCGGAATAAGACTTCGACAATTCCACTGTAGAACAGTGATCAAATCCCCGACCTCGTTTGGAAAATTATCCATCGAAGGAGATGATAGCTGCAAGAAGGGGCCATTTTGAAGTCAATTGCTTCAAGAAGGATTTCACAGTCGGAAGCAATGTGAGGACAATGCTTTTCAGAGGATCAGAAATGTTGAGGTATTTGAGAATACCGTCCACAATGTCATCAAATGAGAACAGCCCAGATGAAGAAGGGGTTTCTGTTCTTAAAATTGGGGCATCAGGGGTTTTGGATGTCCCCGGAAGAGGTGGAAAATCCTGGGTATAATCAGTTCTGCGGAATCCAGGAGGAGTAGAAGTCTCCTTTTTTCCACCACTCCTTGATTTGGGCAAGCTGATTTGGGGTTCTT